GGGCGGCGGCAGCAGGACCAGCAGCGGCGGCAGCGGTGATGGCGTTGGGGGGGGGGAGAACCCCGGAAGAGGAAGAAGAAGAGGAAGAAGAAGAAGAGGAAGAAGAAGAAGAGGAGAGGGAACGGCGTCGTTTCTGGCCCACAATTTGAGCAGGGGGAGGGGCAGGAGCGGCTGCGAGTTAGCAATGTCTTGGAGAGCTAAAGAACAGATAAACAAGGCCAAGTTCGGCGAAGGTGTGAGAGGTTGGACGAAGAACTCACGCTCAGGACTATCTACGTTGTTGTCCTCTACACTAACCACCACCATATCATCATCCGAGTGTTCCTCTAACTCGGTTTCACCCTCCGACACGATTCTATCATCCTCATCACTATAATCACCCCCTTTTCCTTCGAAGTCTGACTGATCGTCCGACTCCGAACCACTGAGCGACTCCTGGTCGGAGGAGGACGGAGACTCACCAGGACGAAAGGCGGGCGTCCTGCGGCGAGGGCTGGCGGCAGGAGGGGAAGCAGAGCGAGAACCAGGAGGAGGAGAAGCAGAGGGAGAACCAGCGGGAGGACCGGCGGGAGGAGAAGCGGAGCGAGGAGGCGGGACATCGCCAGACGGCTCCCCCAAAGAGAGGGTGCCGAGGCCGAGGGAGGAGACTTGGCGAGATCTGTCGCCGAAGGAAACTGAACATCAGCCAAGTCCGGCGAAGTAAGGTAAGTGTCGAGGAATAACTCACGAGCAGACGACACCATACCACCAAAGTTCCTCATGGCGGCGAAAGGGTTAGAGGTGGGAGTAGGAGGGGCCATGACGTTAAAAATACTTAAAGAAATAAAAGATGATTCAAGGTAACAAATCTGTTTTCTAGGTAAGAGAGATAGAAAGTTTTGAAAACAGATGGGAAAAAGAGAGAAGCTCGACGAACTGCTCAGTATTTAGTATAATCAAACCTAAACCCTCGTCGTCAACATGCAGCAAACTTCGCGTTTCATCAACAAAAGGCATCGCAGGGACGATCAAAATTCCCACGCTATAGTGTCTCATCTCAATATAAGCGAGGGTTACTTCGACAAACAACGGTGTTGTTCGGCTGCCATTCAGGAAGCGTGTCTCACCTACAAAAGACACAGGGCTTCTTACGGCAAACCTCGACGAAGTTAGGGGAGTCTCATTGTCGGGTTTTGGAGTGAAAGGAGGCCCAACTACGAAGTGCGGCGCAAAGAGCAGAAGGGTGAAGGATGGTCATGGGGAGGGAGAGAATGGGGGTACTACGCTGCTAAGTTCTCTTGACACGACAGAGGTGTAATCGCTCACGAGGACGTTCGCGGCTAAAGAAGGGGGCGACTGTCACGAACTACGTCGTGACACCTCGATTACTCCACCAACAATGACCCTCCTTTGGCCATCAAAACCCCATCACGCCTTAACCTCTTTACTCTACACGTAACTCAGGACTTCTGACACCAAGTACGGCGAAGTTAGACGGAGTTAGGCTAAGTAGGAACAATGGGAGCAGAAGTACGGCGAAGTTAGACGGAGTTAGGCTAAGTAGGGACAATGGGAGCAGAAGTGCGGCAATGTTAGGCGGAGTTAGTCTAAGTAGGGACAATGGGAGCAGAAGTACGGCGATGTTAGGCGGAGTTAGTCGAAGGAGGAAGAGGATGGCCGAGGGCTCGGGGAAGTTGGACGAAGTGCGTTGAAGTACGTCAAAGCGCGAGAGGGTTGGATGAACGTCTAGGAGGAGTAGATAATATTAGCTGAGAAGATCGCTGAAGTTCTTCAGCGATCCTTGATTGTTGTCAGTAGTGAAAGACATAGAGATAGCTATATACAATCGAGATACATCGCCATCAGTAGAACAAAACCTCAGTTAGAGTAACTACGCCGAAGTACGCCGTAGTTACACTCCTTTCGACGTCTGCGCCCTCCTGGTTGGGTGAGACATCGACTTAGAAGCGTCAAGTTAGCCGAGGTTCGTCGACCGTCGGTCTACTAGAAGATAGTTGTTCGACAGACGTGACAGTTCTCCCCATTCTGGCAATAGCTTTCACCTTTTCTTGATCCATTTTGATCCGTTTGTGTCCTATTATGTACCCCAGGAACTTCACTTCATTTGAACTCCATTCGCATTTCCTCGGACTGACGACCAAATCGTTTTCAAGTAGTCGATCTAACACCTTTTGGACAATTATCTGATGGTTTTCGATCGTGTCGGAGTATACCGTGATGTCGTCAATATAAACTACTACCCCTTCGTCAAGTAGATCGTGAAACATGTCTTGTAGAAAGTTCTGAAAGGTGGCTGGTGCATTACACAACCCATCCCTTAGGACTGTGCTCTCGAAACTGCCGTATCTTGTTCATAAGGCAGCTTTATGTTCATCTCCTTCCTTTATTCTGACTAACTGGTAAGCCCCTTTCAAATCGAGTTTAGTGAAGATCCTTCCTAATTGAAGTCAATCGAGTAGTGTCGAGATGAGTGGCATTGGGTATGAATCCTTAACGGTTACCTTGTTAAGCGCCCGATAATCCGTTACCACTCGATAGGGAATCACTCCCTTTTTTGCAACCAGGAATACAGGAGATCCATAAGGTGATTCACTTCTTCGTAAATGGCCGCTGGCCAAACCGTCATTGATCCACTGCTTTAGGAATGCGTCCCCATGTTCATCCAGTTGGTAGATTGGACCTGGTTTTAGTTCTGCTCCGGGGGTCAATTCAATCTCGTGATCACATTCTCTTCTTGGTGGTAGTTTTCTGGCCCGTTCCACTTTAAATAACTCCAGGTATTGGTGCCATTGTGTCGGTATGACTTGTCGTAACTCTTCTTCGCTCATTTCATCTTCTCCTTTTTCCAACGCCGTTCCTCTTACCAATCCTTCCTCCAATCTTGGATACTTCCAACCGTTATCCTGACCGATTCCGTCGAACTCGATCAATCCCTTTCCACAATCGATCCTTGCCCGAAACTGTTTCAAGAAGTCCAATCCCACCAGTACCTCGGGGCCTTCGTATGCCATCACATCCAATCGAGTCGCAATCTTGAGTCCTTTTCCTATATCCAATTCAGCTTCTACATACTCGGTCACTAACGTCGCGGTTGTTCCATTGAGGAACCTGATCTTCCGTGGTTCCTGATACTGTCTCTTTGGGAATAAATGGTATAATGGACGGGCCGGCTGTACGTATCTTCCAGTAGCTCCGGTATCAATTAACATTCCAAATCGTAGGGTATCTTCTTCTGTCTGTATTTTTATGTATATTATAGCCGAGTCATTACTGAGATCTATTGGCAGTTGAATTTTGTGCGATTCTGTTAGATCCTGGCCGGAAGTGGTCGCATCACTTAGGCCAGGTATTCGTTTCCCTCTTCTTCAAAGGTCACCGCCATTCCTTGAACTAATGGCCCTTTGGATCCAGTTGGGATCGAGTTCGATCCACTAGGAATTGGTGAGCTATGCGGGTTTGGGGATCGCCTAATGTTGTTCCTCGCATTTCCTCCGTTTGGACAGTTGTTGGCGTAATGTTCTGGACTTCTACATTTGAGACAACGTCGGTTCTCCCTCCTCCAAGTCATTTTGTTCTCACTGAGGCGTCCTCCGTCCTCTGTCCAAGTGACCGGAGGGTCATTTGGTAGACCATAATTCATCATCCCTGGCTTTCCACCGGGCAAGGGTCCTCTACCAGTCGATTGTGAGTGGCGTTCTACCGGGTTGGGCGGACTAGTATCCAATCACATCGAATTCAATCGAGGGGGAAGCCAGGTCGTCTCATTTTTGCGTCTAGCAGCCCATCGATTCGCTGCAATCATCGTTTCAGCCATCCATTGGTTCTCCTCAGTCCCTATCACATGTTGTTTGAAATAGATCCAGTCCGATTTGGTTCGAGGGTCGGTGTTATCTACCACTACCACTTTCAGTAGCTCTTCCTTCAGGCCCTGTATGGCTAGGCGATTTTCATTGCATCTGGTACCTTTCCAAGATGTGTTGACCAAAGTTCAAAGTTGGCAAGATACTCGGCGGCTGTATCAGTTCGTCTTAACTCTTGGAATTTCCTCATAGCCGTACCTGCCATATTACTGTCTCCAAATTGAGTTCGTAAATGCTGGATGAATTTGTCGTAGCTCTCTAGCCATTCGGTCGAATTCCATATACTTGGATTGTTTATGGCCGGGGTCAGAAGCATTTGAGGGGTGCCTCGAAGATACCCGTACATGAACAGGATCTTTCTGTGATCGGTGGCGTACTCTGCCCCTTTGAATTCGAAGTTCATGTGGCATGCTGCAAGGAAGTTGTCCAATTCCCCTCATTCTCCACTGAAGGTAGGTGGATCCGCACACCTGGTTCTTTGTCACACCCGTCGAACAACTACTTCCTAGTAGACCGACGGTCGACAAACCTCGGCTAACTTGATCCTTCTAAATCGATGTCTCACCCAACCGGGAGGGCGCAGGCGTCGAAAGGGGTGTAACTACGGCGTACTTCGGCGTATCTACTCTAACTGGGCTTTTGTTCTACTGATGGTGATGTATCTCGATTTGTAAATAGCTATCTCTATCTATTTTTCACTATTGACAACAATCAAGGATCACTGAAGAACTTCAGCGATCTTCTCAGCTAATATTGTTTATTCCTCCTAGACGTTCATCCAACCCTCTCGCGCTTTGACGTACTTCGACGCACTTCGTCCAACTTCCCCGAGCCCTCGGCTATCCTCTTCCTCCTCCGACTAACTCCGCCTAACGTCGCCGTAATTCTGCTCCCATTGTCCCTACTTAGCCTAACTCTGTCTAACTTCGCCGTACTTCTGCTCCCATTGTCCCTACCTAGCCTAACTCTGTCTAACTTTGCCGTACTTCCGCTCCCATTGTCCCTACCTAGCCTAACTCCGTCTAACTTCGCCGTACTTGGTCTCAGATGTCCTGAGTTACGTGTAGAGTAAAGAGGTTAAGGCGTGATGGGGGTTTTGATGGTCAAAGGAGGGTCATTGTTGGTGGAATAATGGAGGTGTCACGACGTAGTTCGTGACATTCTTCCTGTTCGTTCGTTGTTGGTAAGTTTTGGCTCCAAACACGGCTTGTTTTCTTCGATTTCGATCGAACTTGCTCCTTTCGAGGTGAGTAGCTGTTGGTTCTGTCGGTCAGCTTTCATCGTAGCCAGTTCTTCCCTTAATGCATTTTGTTCCTTTTTTTGCATCGTCATAATGGCTAATAATTGTGACAACTGCTGCGATAATTCTTTCAGCGGATCTGGGGTAGTGGTGATAGAAGTGAGATCATGTGAAATGGTACTTCTCGAAGAACTTGTTGGTATTTCTTCCTCTAGGACCAGCCCTTGTTCCAACTCCTCTTTTTTTGGTATCATTTTCCGCGCTTTCCCTCTGGTGAGCATACAGTACTCTCCAATTCGACCCAAGGTGCGTAAGGCTGATTCTTCAACTTGTAACAATACTGGAAACACGATGACTAGGTCGCAGGTTGGGTCGAACTCGATGGATGTCTCGTGGAAATCTAGGGGCTCTGGTGCTAATGGATCGTGTCTCCTCTGCAATCGATGTAGCCAAGGAATGATATTGAAGAATCAGCAAAGTTGGTACTTTGCTGATTGTACTATATACTGTCTAAGGATATCCTTGTCCTCGTCCTCTTCCCGCTGCAAGCGTCTTCGTACATACTCGGACAGGTGAAAAACCGCTTTGAGCAAACCCAGTGGGGAAAATCTCGAAAGAGGAAAACCCGTCCCTACCTACTGCAGCACTGCCTCCAACTCCCGCTTTCCTCTATCCTAATCCGTCAAACTCGATCGAGTTCTCTCGATTCGTTGTTACCCCGTAATAGGTACCCATTATCTACAGTAAGGGTATTCAGCTTGATTTTATTTGACCCCGTTACTGGTGGTTTCTTCTTTGCTTCTGGGCACGCGCTAGCCATGTGGCCAGTGTTGCCACAGTATAAGCATAATCAGTTGTCTCATCTGTATTTCTTCTCGTCGTAGGTGAGACTCTTCCTACTAGAGTTAGATTTGGACTTGTTGTAATCCGTTTTCTTGGCATTCTGGTTGTTGGAATCGCGCCGACCATATGTAGATTTCGGAGAAGACGTAGTAGGATTTCCCTTAGGTGTATTTGTCCTCTGTCTATCCCCTTCTTTATTACGGTTGCCCTGTCCACCAGAATTATTGTTCCATTGATAAGAAGTTTTGACACCTTCTAGATGAACGTAAAGACTAATTGCAGTGTCTGCAAGGTCTTTAAGAGTTTGAGGTTGGTGTTCCCGATTTGCGAGAGCTACTCGAATTTCTGTTGACAGTCCAGATTCAAAAGCATCTTTGAGTGCTCGGTCATCCCAATCGACATCAGCCAAAATTGAGAGGAACGACGAGTAATAGTCCGATACCGACTTGTCTTGACAAAGACGTTTTAGACGTTGTACCGCGTAGCGGTGTCTATCAGGAGCTCCAAACATCCTTTTCACCTGTTCCAAGAAAAGGCTCAAGTTGAAAGCCCACTCTGGCTGGTCCTTTTCCGACTTGACATAGTACGCTTGCCACCACCTTCCTCCTTTCCCCCTCAAATAACTAGCCGCCCACACAACTCTAAATCTATCATTCATGCCTCTTCCTCTAAGATCCAGATAAAGCCTTACTTCAGCCACATAAGCATCTACCTTGTCCCCGTTCCCGTGAAACGTGTCGGCGGTCTTGATATCAATCTTTCTTATGTCTGAACCCAACAGGTCGTAGTTGGAATTCATATGTTCACCTTGCCTTTTGTAAGTCCCCTGTCTGAACCGTTCAGGATGAGTTTGAGAGAATGGAGTACTAGTAAATGGGGTTCTTGTTGATAAGTAATGCCACGCAACTACGACTCGAAACTGTTTATAGATACGATACCATCCGTAGTCTTCGATGCAATTCTTACTATCATCGTAATCGTACTCGTCGTACACTTCGAACAGATTAAAAGTCTCAATCTTTAGACTTAGTGAGGATATAGCACCGATCGTACGCACTCGAACGTGCATACGAACCGACCCGACGAGACATCGGGAACCGTACGACGAACCGTACACGAAGCACCGTACTGGTGTAGTAGAATAAGGACAGTCCAGCTTTGGTTGTGACGTAGACGTCGCCTCGTAGACGTATAAAATCCAGTCCGTGCTGGTGGCGTACACAGTAGAGGCCTCTGGTGTACGTCTTGCGTACGATAAGTCCTCTACGAGAGTCTATTATTGTAATACGATTCATAAGCTGAAATACAAAGCACGATGTCGCACGATCGTTCGACTATGATCGGTCTCGAATCCGTACCCGTACTATCGAGTCAAAGCAACTACTTCGATTGGAAGCTCGCCATGGAAAACTATCTCCTCATCCATGGCTGTCTGGGTATAATCGAAGGTACGGATCGCGAACCGTACCGCCAACCTACAATCCCCCGTACGGTTCGAGCAGGTTCAGTCGTACCTACGGCTGATGAAACTATCACCCATACGGAGCTCGATTCGGATGATGAAGAACGCTGGGAGTCGTGGCGTAAACGCGAACTTCGAGCTCAAGGTGCGATCATGAGCAAAGTCGAACGCGGTTTGCTCATTGACCTACGATCCATACGATCCGCATACGACATGTGGACATTCCTTGCAACAGACATGCAGCTCAAGACACCCAAACATCGTACGTATGTCGAACGCAAACTACGAATGCTCGTACTGAAGTCGAACCCTACGGATACGGAGATGACTCAACACCTACAGAGATTCAATCTACTCTGGCTGGAAGCTGAGGAGTCAGGATGCAATTTCTCAGCTGATACTCGTGCGCTCTGGTTCCTCGATACGCTCCCTCGAAGCGACTTCAAAGTCATGCGATCCCTCTATGTTAATCTCCCTACGAGTTCGAAGACATGGGCTGAGCTTCGACGCTTGTATCAAGTTGAATTCGCAGATCGCGCACGATTCATCCCTCCTACAATCCCTGGTCAGATCAACAATACGACTGCGGATCCTCCTCGTACGAATGCGGATTGGGTTAAGACAGCAGAGTGTCACTATTGTCATAAGAAGGGACATCTTAAAAAGGAATGTAGGAAGAGGATTAGGGATGAGCAGAAAGGGAAATCGAAGGGATCGAAGGGATCGAAGGGAAAATCGAAGGGGTCGAAGCCACAAGTCAATACAACACAATCGACTACGACTACGACAAACGAAGGCTCTTCGAACCCTACGATTGATCCATTCTGGGCTGCTGCTATCAGTCTTACCGAGCCAACCGTACAGTACGTAGGCTCGAAGCTCGTACCCGAATTCCTCCTTGACAGTGGAGCTACCCACCATCTCACACCTGATCGTACGATTCTCTCGAACATCGTACGACTCGACACGGCTATCACGTTCGGTCTTGCGGATACTACGACCAAGGTTCATGTATATGAAAAGGGAGACATTCTACTACGACTCCCCTCTGGTCAAACCGTACGGATCGCGGACGTATACCTTACGAACGTCGCACGACAGAACATCCTATCCGCAGGTACTCTCAAAGCTCGTGGGTGGGACGTAGACTTCGTAAAGGGCGAACTTCGTAAAGGAAAGGAGATTGTTACGATACGAGAACACAGTGTCCTCCCATATGTACAACTGGGGGAGCTTGTACCCAAGACTACGGGTACGATCAGTTCGACAACTCGTATTGGACCACTACAAACCGAACACAATCGACTTGGTCATATAGGTCGTAACCGTATTATCGAGCTCGCACAAGCGGGGGAGCTACGATACAGTGCGGATGAGTTGAAGGCAGACTCGTGGCGTACGGATAGCTGCGCGGTTTGTCAAGAACAGAAGAATACTCGACTTCCAAAGAAGGATGTCAGTCCGCATGGAACTCGTAATTGCGAAATCGTACATTCGGATATCTCTGGACCCCTACGACCTTCGGCGCAAGGTGAGACATACATCATTACGATGTACGATGACTACTCGAAGGTCAATCGAGTAGTGACCGCACCGAACCGACAGCATGTCGTATTCTACCTTAAGGAGTTTGTCGCAAAGATCGAACGACAACTCGGTGGAACCGTACGATTCCTTCGTACGGATGGAGGTACCGAATACGCAGGATCGCAAGCTCGACAATGGTATGCAGAGAAAGGTATCATACACCAGATCTCTCCACGCTACACACCTGAACTCAATGGTGTAGCTGAACGCTTCAATCGTACTCTCAAAGAGATGGCTAGTTCGATGCTATCTTCGGCTTCCCTCGATCATTCGTACTGGGATTACGCTGTACGATATGCATCCGTAATGATGATGAAGACAAGTACGAGTGCGGACGGTACGAATTCGTGGTTCGCACTCACAGGTCGCAAGCCAGGCTTAGAGAAAGCTTTCATGTTTGGTGAACTTGTATACGTACAGATACCGATCGAAGTCCGTGGTAAGTCACAGCTTGACTTCCACAAAGGAGAACTAGCAAGAGTCTTAGGACAAGAGGAAGGTATGAGTGGTTGGATCGTACGATACGAATCGAATGGCTCGATCGTGGTTAGTCGTGATGTGCGAAGTGCACAGGAATACATTCGACCTTCGGTCACAGTACAAGATCGTGTTCCCGTACCGGTCGTACCAAATACAAATACAACTACAGTCACTCCTACAACACTTCCTGATCCCCTTCCTGGTCCACTCCCTGCACCTGTCCCTACGACACCAGTACGATCTCAATCACCTGTGTCCGTACACGATTCTGTACACGATTCCGTACACGAATCTACTCCAGTCGTAGAGAATCCTTCGAATACGATCCCTGCGGAATCGCCTGCTACAACTGCAGAAGATACACCTGCTGAAGAACCTACAACTACTCCTACGGTTCAACAGCCTGCACCAATCGCACGGGTCGTACCGCAACCCACTCGTACGAGCGAACGAATTAGAGATCGTATGAACGTACAAGGTACACTCTCTGCAGTAACCTGGTTCCCTGTTCAAGCTTCGCACTATGGTCTAGCCAGTGAAGTTGCAATGATACTCGCAATCGAAGGAAGTGATGTCGTACCGCAGACTGCTGGAGAAGCTCTTCGTAGTCCGCGGAGTACGGATTGGAAGATCGCAATGACTCGCGAACTCGACAATATCAAGTCGAAGGATACATGGAAGGAGACTACTCTTCCGCAAGGTCGTAAAGCTATTGATTCAAGATGGGTCTTTGCAATAAAGAAGGATGCAGATGGGAAGATCCTCAAGTACAAAGCTCGACTCGTAGCGAAGGGATTTTCGCAACAACCTGGTATAGATTACGAAGAGACGTACGCACCCGTAAGTTGTATGGTCAGTCTACGAATCGTACTTACGATTGCTGCATCGTACAATCTCGTAACACATCAAGCAGATGTCGAAGGAGCTTATCTCAATGGTGTACTTGAAGAAGAAATCTATATGAGATACCCAGAAGGTATGGCTCGAGCTCCTGGGTGTAATACCTTACGATTGTACAAGTCACTGTACGGTCTCAAGCAGTCTGCACGAGTTTGGTGGATCGAACTCGGTAATGCGCTTGCAACATACGGATTCGTACGACTCGAATCAGATTGGGGAATGTACTACAAGGCATCTAAAGGTTCAGATGGTCCTATTATCGTACTCGCATATGTGGACGACCTCGTAATCGCAGCTCGAACTCGAGATGTGATTGTACGACTCATGCGATTCCTCAAGTCAAAGTGGACAATGACAGAAATGGGGGAGATGAAGCAGATACTAGGGCTCAAGGTAGTTCGTGATCATACGAACCGTACGATTCACCTATCGCAACCAGCGTACATCGAACGTGCAGCTGCGGAGAACTCGGTTGCGGTTCGAGCCTACGGTACTCCCCTCCCACAACATGTAGAGGATCTCTACACCACTTCGACACCGCTCCAAGCTACGACTCCATATCTCAAGATCATTGGATCATTAATGTGGATCGCAAGTTCGACACGGCCTGATGTATGCTTTGCGACACGATATCTCGCTCGATTCTCAGCCAAGCCAACCGAAACGCATCTCGCACTTGCGAAGCGCGTAATGTCGTATCTCGTACATACGAAAGACTACGTTCTCAAGCTTGGGGGAGAACCGTATCAACTGGAAGGATGGGTCGATGCGGATTTCGCTGGCTGTACGGAAACACGAAAGTCTACGACTGGCTATCTATTCAAGTTTTGTAATAGCTCGATTCAATGGCAATCTCGAAGACAAGCTACGATTGCGCAGTCTACAATGGATGCGGAGTATATCGCAACCGCAGAAGCTGCTCGTGAAGCCGTATGGATACGAAGTCTATTGACTGAACTCGGTTTCAAGCAAGTTACAACACGACTTAATTGCGATAATCAAAGTGCGATACGACTCGCACACAATCCTGGTACGCATGCTCGATCGAAGCATATAGACGTACGACATCATTACATCCGTGAGAAGATATACAATGGTGAATTGAAACTCGAATACGTACGATCCGAATTGCAAGACTCGGATTTCCTTACGAAGATCCTACCAAGAGAACCACACGAAAAGAACTGTCTTCGAGTTCGACTCGTACACGGTTCGATATCGCACTCTGTATCTCTCCTCACCTCCCACACTCATCTTGTCGATTCGGATCACGATCCATACGGTTCGAAATCGACATCTCTCGAATCGTACGACACGTAGAGCGTCGTACCGAACACTTCGTACTGTGCACACGAGATTTCCTGGTTTGCTCGTGATTCATGCCTTTTCATCCCGTACGTCCAGGTCTGCGATACGGATCCCATTGGTTTACGATACGATCTCATTAGTTGGTTTAGAACATGTTAGTTTGTCTATTGGAGTTAGTGTCATTAGGGGGAGTGTTGATAAGTAATGCCACGCAACTTCGACTCGAAACTGTTTATAGATACGATACCATCCGTAGTCTTCGATGCAATTCTTACTATCATCGTAATTGTACTCGTCGTACACTTCGAACAGTTCTGAGGTGTGAGTGGCCCCGATGTGTGTTTGTCGGAATTGGAATTGGTTGAGCATGAATTGGACATTGCTGATTGACAGCTGGCAACGTGTCATTCAAATTCAACAACGTGTGGTTGGAATTTGGTGAGGAGTGATTGGAATGCGGATCGGGTTCGTTTGTACCCATTACCGCCACGTTGGGAGAGAACCCGTGCACTGTAGGTTCTTGTCCCAGGTTCTCAAGAGTCCCTTGTCCTTCTACAGGATGATTCCCCGCTTGCGGCCCTGTTCGAAGAGCGGCAAGTTCTGCTTGAAGCTGAATAATGACTTGATTTTGTTCTTGGTGATGCTGACGCATCTCTTGGAGTTCAGCTTGGAAAGTGCGACAATCATGTCGAAAATCACGAAGATTGGCGACAGATGTGCAATCAAAGGTGGGTGAATCAGGAAGGGACATTGCTAACAACCGATAACGTGTTGTTGGTAATCACCTAGGTCTTGTTCGGTACAAGTAAGGTCGAATGTATTTTATGTAAGGACCAGACGTCGGGATAGTCTGCGTCGATGAGCTGTGACAATGAGGCCTTGTAGGGAACAAACCTAGTGATGTAGTGTATCGAAGAGATCTGTAAAATCGATGAGATGTATGTCAAATGATTTAACTAGGAACACACAAAATACATTCGACAAGACATTGCTGAGAAAAGACTACGTCTATATACTAAAAAGAGAGCGGAGTGATACCGATAAGAGCATGCGTAGTTTGGAATGAAGTCGAGGTAGAATAGGAGAGGAAGAGCGATGATAGTTATTGAGACGGAGATGTAAAAAAGGGTAGAGGTGTCGAAGAAATGGTACCAGGTGTAGTAGCAAACGGAGTAAGCCCGGATGCGGCAATGGAGACGGGGACGGGAATGGAAAAAGAGTACGACTACATGGTAAGGTACCCGTGGTACCGCGTGATCCTGACATTGTTGAGAAGCGTACACTTTGCGGGTATTACATGTGGTTATGGCGTAAAGAAGATCTGCTTGGATATGGATGTTAGGATCTGAACTCCCAGATCATAACAGAATAGTGTCTTTGATATCTTTCAAGAATATCTCTTTGGGATACTGTCATGACCAGGTGGCGAGCCCGCGATCATGAACCGTCCTAAAAGGCTCAATATCAACTCTGCTAGTGATAGCTGATCTCGCTATAAGTACCGGTTGTGACAGATACCTTTGAGGGATATTTTCTGAAGTCTGAGAGCTTCTTAATGGTCTGGAGTCATATGTGAAGGTGATAAGTGCCAGGAGAAAAGTGGTGACTCTGACAGTCGCGTATACATGTCTTCCGTGCGCCACCTACATAACACAAGTCCGATGTCCATGGGAAGAACCCGTGCGAGGGGTGTAATTTACATGCATCTCGTTCCGTCCGTTCGTCATGGAGAATTGACACCCACTAGTGATTCTTGCTAGTTCTTCCTCGTTCCGTCTACTCTCCCTCTTCGCCGATCGTGACGGCCTCCGCTCCAACCTCACCTTCGACGGCCTTCCCCCCCTATCTCCTACTCGCGACAACGCCTCTCCCTACTTTGTCTCGCACCGCCTTCCTGATCCCGCGAGGTTTGGTCAAGGCAGCCAGAAGAGGCAAGTCGCCCTCCCGACGCGACCGGACCATCATGACGACACGATGAATCATGGTCTGGGCCTCCATCACTTCCATTGATACATGCCTTCAAATGCCACTGTTGCCAGTACGTTCAGCTTGTTCTCTGACTACAAATATCTTTTTCTTTCCTCCTCTTCCTCCTCTTCCTCCTCCTCCCATCCAAACAAACAAATAGCACACTATGAGTGAATCCAAGACTTTTGACAAGTGAGTTGTTCCCCTTTGTGGACTAACAAAGAAGTATCACATTCTGACTTTGCTAGCAAGTCTCAATCACCTGTCTCTGAAGGGCAGGACTTTCCGGATGACAATCGAGTACAAACGGAGTTACCAGCCGCATGGCCTCAGGATTCCACTGGAAGTCATGATGATGATGATCAGAAGGACTCCCTCGAGATAGCCGCAGATGATTGGGGGTATGCACTCACTGACAAATATATAGAAGAATTGCCTCGTTCAACTGTGCAAGAGAGTAAAACGCATCTGAGCATAGGCTCCAAAACGTCGTATACCTTGACAATCTCCTCCACAGAGACAGCTGTGATAATCATCAGCCAAATGCAGGCTTTTCATGGTGCCATGGTTGCCAGGATGGAATTGGAAGTACATATCAAGGAGTCACGTAACAGCCGCAGGCCTCTGAAACCACATGTCACTAGAGTTGCTCCAGTACTTTTTGAAGGAACCTCTGAAAAAACAAGCAATTCTATCAAATTATCAGCCAGCGCTGGCATCTCGCCCCCCCCCTTTTTCAATCTCAATGTCAGTAGCTCCATTGAGAGGACGTTTGACACCTTCCAGCCAGCGGTGACTATAAGCACCATGGCTCACCGAGCCGACAACGAGACTGATCTCTCTGTCCGGACTGTAGTTTACGGAACAGCCTCTTGTAGTAAGATCAGTACTCAAGGCATCGGTCTCAGTTGTCACCTTTTCATTGTCCAAACTGAAGAGCCTTCCAACCCAGACGATGACTTGTTTGAGATACATGTCACCAGCAAAACGGCAATAAAGGCACCTTTTCTCCAGAAGTTGAAAGAACAGCTTATGGAAAAGAAGACAGTCATGACTCCCCTTATTTGTTCAGCGGGTGACGAATTACCGGCTGGTTTCAAGCGGCCTGACAAAGATGTGGGGCAGATGACTCAGGCTGAACTGGACCAGCTGGCCAACAATTGTCTCATGGCGCACGCAAATGCAAGTTACCAATATGCGATTAATATCGCCACCGCCGGTAATACTGACTCGACTTGAACTGGGTTCAGTACATGCACTAGCCCCTAAAGGATATGTTGTGCTACCCAAGTGATGTGCTGCTATAGATTGGTATTGTAGCTATCACCTAGAGTCCCTTCTCCACCACCTTGCTTTCCGTGAACCTTGCCAAACTTGCCCTCAGTTTGTGTGCATGATAGATGGAGGAGGGAATGAATGAGATGAGTACACTATACTGAACATGTTTCTGATGCTTGGACCTGTGACATGAGCTCAGATTGTTCACGGACACTCTGATCACCCTGACCCAAACAAACGCTTTGTTTCAATCGCCCATGTCATGTATGAAGTCAAGGACCTGCATCATAACGTCCTCGCTAAAAGGTCCAATACTCGACATCTGCTAGATGTCGAGTCTCTTTATATGGGGTACTCAGTTCCTGACAGCTCATCCCCTCGACAGAGTTATTGATCACGCTCCGTGCGTACCTGCTCCATCTTCATAGTCCTTGCTCTGAAAACTTGCTATTCATTGACAATCATCCCTGCTTATCAAATGAAACAATCTTCCCGTAAGACACTACACTATTCAACACAGTACCCATACTTTGAAACATTCCATTTGGGCACCCAACAACCTTTTGACAAAACACCAAGACTTTTGTGACTTTTGCGTTTACTGCTTGGCACAAGTCACTAATCACAATAGATATGAACAATCCTCTACCCTGATACTAGTGACAACTTGAGCGGTCAACAGTCTTTGTGCCAGAGATCAATGCCACCCAAAAGTCTTGTGAATGTGTTGCTAGAATCGATGACATTCCGAGAATTTGAAGTGTCACATTGCGTTTCAAGTCGCACGGACTACGCTTAGTCGTTATAACATTACTCCGGGTGATTCCACACACACGTACAGTATGAAAGATTCACCAATACTCCCCACATACCAGTGGAAGAACAAACTTGCATATTTATACATGATGCAAGGAGAGATCACACATTCTCTCTACACAAAGACCTAGATCTGCAGCGTGCTACTGTAAATCTGTAGTAGGGAATGATATTATGTTCTTAAACCTTAAAAATCCACCTTGGCTACCCATTTCATGACCCTCAATATCTTAACCCTTAATACAACAACACATGATTTGTGTATCACCTTGAGTGGTGACTGAGGTTTCACCTTCAAGCAATTTGGTTGCACCTAGTCAGTCATCCGTAGCAGGTTTAGATATTCATGCAGCTGTCAATTATGTCTTATCACCTACAGCGGACAATTCATGGAAGGTTTTGGTGGGGTTGAACAGATTGAGGACTTGAAAAGTGTGCTCAATGGCTGACTTGTTGCATCACACGCCTAACACACCACCATTGCATGCCTGTCAAATAGGCATGCGGCAGCCATTGCCCGCTGTACATTGCCTCTTAAAGGCAATAAAGTAAGCCTAGTTACTTACACTGCACTCCTTAGTTGTGCTCTCACAACAGACACTTATGTGAGCCAGTAAGCCAGTTGTGTGTCCACCTTCTTGGACAGGCCAATGGTCAAAACAATGATACATGAGGATTCTTTTTGAAAGGAAGTCCTTATTGTACTCATGCACCATGTCTTTCACCCAGTGGTGGAGGAGGCTTGAGTGTGTCCTCCATGGTATAAGACCTCATCTCAACCCCAAGGGTAGGTATTCTCAATTGGGTAGTCCATAAAATCTTGTACAACAGGAGCATCCCAGTAATTTTGCCAAGAAGTTGCCAGCTTTGCAGAAGGTTCAAGGCACGCCTAGCGTATTGATATGCACCTTGTCTTCACTCTTACGTTCTTGGAAAAGGCTGCCCTATGTGATGCTGTATACAGCTTGTAAGCTTCTTGGATAGACAAGTCATCTGCTTCTCACTATATCACTAAGCAGACGGCTGAGCGGGATAGATTCCAAGTATAGAGAATAGGTAGATATTTTGACAGAACACATTCTCTTTCTCTACAATTGACTTTCAACATTAAAGAGGTTTTTCTTGACCCTGATCAATCATGTCTCACAAACTATTTATAAACTCAGAAACAAGACTCTGTACGCGGTTGGTAGCTGCTAGTAGTCTTGAGCATCTGGATGGGGAGATCTTCATAAAGTGCAAGATAGACAAAGGTGAAGAGGTGCTGAGGGAGGCTGTGGGGAGTGCAATGTCGCGCACGGATCAGCATTTTCACCCCACGGGATAGCTTGGACCATGACAAGGTCTTCCTCTCAGGTCATAGAGATGAACCACACTTCATGATCAACATTGCCAACACCAAACAGTGTTGTGCGCCATGTAAGCAGCCAAGAGTCTTCCTGTAGGTTGAGAAGAATGAAACAATCGTGAGGAAATGATTGTGTAAAGGGTATCATCGAGCCATCATACACTATAACTTGAGTTTCGTTCAGTCCACCCCTTTCCTTCCCATGCCTCGAAGTATGGAGGCGCTGAAACTACCCTCAAAGCTGTATCCCACTATTCTTCTCATGACCTCAGGCCAGTCTGAAGTGTTTCCCGCCTTCTTTCTGGTACTGCGGACGTCGAAATTCAAGCCCGATGACCGACGTTCAATATAGACGTCATCGATCGTTCACATTGGAGGTGTTCGAGTAAACCTCACACCATCCGTTCATACGTGTGGCGCCCCCCTGACTAGGCTGTGCGCCTTCTTGTCTTTCAGAGAGGTGGGTTATAGGATATAAAGACCTCTATTCCTCTCCCCAACCTCATCAAACATATTATCAAGTCTTTCCCTCACACACCAAATGGAAGGAACATCCTCGTGAGTGTATCAGTTCGGGTCGTTCTCCCTTATGACCTACCCGAGGTGTAGTTGTCATTGCTGACACAATGAGATATGGACAGGGACAGTCTGTTTTTTATATGCCTGACCCTCCAATAACCTCAGAAGAGCCAGAAGAGAAGTTTGAAATCAACTCCACAGAGGATTCCAGTGATGAAGAGTGCTCAGATGATGAAACGGAGATACCCTGGGATCCTTAGGAGTTTCTCTGTCTAGATTTTAAAGACCCACCTAGGGCAAGAGAGCTCACATTTGGAATGTTTCGCGACAGGCAGAGGCGTAAACCGGCTAAGGAGCTCAAAGTGGATGATGAATATCAGTATAACTGGAGTGAAATCGCCGCATTTGAACTGCAAGGTGAGGGAATCCGGACCACACAGAATCCTTTGGAGATGGGAAATTGGTCAGACAACGTTTTGCATTTGACTGAGAGCACAAGAGGTTTTGTACGGGTCAGCATACTTGGAGTGACTCATGGTACATATGGGGATGGGCCATCTTCTACTCATGTGACACTTTATGTCCTTGGGATCAGGGTGTATGGTGCAAAGAAAATGAAAGTAAAAGGGATAAGTCTGAAGATGCAATTTGAAAATGAAGGGGAGGGAGAAGCTGAAACCCCCAACTTACCAATGATCATAAAGACTTACCCTGAAAAGTATACCGGTACTGCCTCTGTTGAGGATGTCAAAGAGAAATATAACATCAGTCTAAGTGTGGGTGGGATACCCCACTTTCCATTGACTTTAAGTGCAGGACGAGGCAAGACTATACATTACAAAACCAAATCCCAGGTGACGGTTGAAACAGCAAGTGCAAAGTCCAAACATCATGAGGATCCAAATGACAAGAGTCTTCTCCGGGCTTCAATCATCGCGCCTGAAAAGGAGGAAGTACCATCGATGAATCTCGGCCTCCTGGTGAGGGAGAGCAAGAAACGTTCAGTGATCCTTACTGCTAGTGGCATAATCTACTATAGATCAAGGCTGGCTCCTTTATTTGGGGGACGCTCTGAGAGTAAATACCCACGCATAGTTCACCCCGACACTCACCGCTGGAGTGACAGTTTACCCCCTATTCCTGGTCCGGATTTCAAGAAGATGACCCCAACTGACTGGGACACTTTGTGCGGATTGAGCAAGACTGAGGAATCCAGTGCAACCAAGAAAGGGAGTGACGGAGAAGAAGCGGGAGGAGAAGAAGTAGACTCAGTGAGTGAATCGGGCGAAGGCAATGGATCAGAAGGAGCGGATGAGACAGAGGAGGAGGAGGAGCCAACGGCAACGGCAACGGCAACCATGGAAGTACCAGCAACGCTCAACCGAAATCCATGGGAAGAGATCTACAAGATAGTGAAGCCCAGCCCAGGACCTGAAGCACCGTATACCGATACCCTCAACCACGTTCAGAGTTTGCCCATTGATTGACATTAGTACTCTCAACAAATAGTAATGACATCAGACAGTGGTAATGTACCGTGGCAACGGTTCAATATCCCCTTATGCCCATACGTCCGGATCCATCCCGTGCGTATCCTTGTTCAGTATGAGACACGAGAGAGATGCATGAAGTGAGAGTGATGCATACAAAGTGATGTGTTGTTGTTGGCCTCTTGAAATTTCATCCTCACGCCACGGGCATGCCTTTGATAGTCATGATCAACCTCCCGGTATCACCCTCCCAATCCATATCATCATCAACTTCTATTCTCCCCTCATCTTCCTCTCCCCTTATACCTCCTTCACTCGTATCTTTCCTCCCTATTCCCTCATCTTCATTCTCCTCAATTCGCACGATATTCTCCCCGATAGTTGAACTCTCTCCGATCATTTCCACTTCTCTACCATCCGGCCAAACACCTGTTTGTCCCGAAGCCCACATCCAAGCTTCTCCGACTTGTCGAGGCATCTTACCCTTACGTCTCACATTGGATGGAAGGACGAACCGTCTGTGCGATGGGGCTACGTGGCCTGGACGAGTGAGAAGGGTGTTGGATTGAGTTCGTGCGGTCGCTTGTTGGGAGGAAATTATGTCTAACCGTGCGTAGAGATTGTTTAGCTGGATATGAGCACAAATCTCGTTTTCTACATACATCAGATATCCTCGTATGGATTTGCCCCTGAGACGCTTGGCTGTCTTGTCCTGACAACTATCGTACCGAGAGGGGCAGTTGGGATGATGAACTGGAAGAATTGGGTGGCGTAAGCCAAAGACAAGAGTGAAAGACATGAAAGACCGAGGAGGATGAGGGGAAACATGAACAGCCCACCTGCTCACTGCGCCAAATAGGAGTTCTGACTTCCAACACCTTCTCCCCTTGTCCTTCCGCCCAACCGGCTTTGGACCCAGTCTCTTGAGCAGCGATCAACAACTCATCCCTCCATTTCCCCGCCCTGACCTCTCGTTTTATCATCGAACCGTTGGAGCTCCCTTCTCCCATTTGCCTGATTTCCGACGGATAGGTGGAAGACGTAGGTTCAGAGTCTTCTCCCGCGGAAGAATACTCAGAGGACATGTAGTCCATGTGTAATGCGGAGGGCGGTACGATTTCCGAGCAAGTGGGGTCAATTGAACTTTTTGATCGACGTTTTTGTTTCTGACAGTCAGCAAGTTATACTGTCTCAATGCGGTTTGTCACCCAATTTTTCTTCTCATTGCTCCAGAAGTGCTCGATACTGGGTGGATGGCATCGAGGTAGCGAATTTTGGTGCAGAGATCCTCTGGCTTCGTGGAAGTCATGTGAAAAAGGATGGAGCTATTGATGGACGACAGCATGAGTGAGATTAAATATATGGAGGAGGAGAAGCAGGATATATGACTCACGAGATCTTTTCTGGCCCATCGTCGACGTGTCTTTGCGTACTTTTCCTTCCTAGCTTGATGCTCTTGGTCGTTCTCTGCTAAATATCGCTTCGAAAGGTTGAACAAAGCTGTACGTGTCACAACCTGTCATGTCAGCATTTGTTACAGAGCATGATGCCTGATCATACTGGATTCTCACTCGGAGTATCATTCGCCCATCGGACTGTTCATCATGATCGACTTGGTACAAAAGAACCCCCTGAAAGTCGCATTATCATGGGAAAGTGGGAGATTGTTCAGAAGGGGTTGCGTATACACAGACGCAATGTGGTTACGACATGAAGACAAAAGACGTACTTGAACGACCTGTTGGGTCATATCTTCATTTGGCACTCTTGGCCAAATACCGCCATGAAGCTCTTCAAGTACTTCACTAGTAACACGATCTTCGAACTATTCGTCAGTGTCATTCCCACTGACTCGCGTCTTCAATGAACCTCTTTTTGCGATTGCAATATACGGTTCCCGAGTTAGCTGCGGATATAGAATGAAATACGTCTATCTCTTCTACGTGCGCAACAGTAATTCGACATCAAAGAGACGGCTAAGTAGAAAGAGACAGCTTTCTCCGTGCGCCAGTCAATCAATATGAAAGAGATGTTGAATCCAGAAAGACACATGTCCTCTACTTGCGCGACGGTAGAACAATATGGAAGATATGTTCTCCTATAGAGATGTCGAGAAATTCATAACGGCGTGGAAATGTTTTGAATGAGTCCCGCATGTTTAGATATAGTTTCACATAACGCATCTCAATACCAAGAGAGAGTCCCGGTAGCCGATCAGGACTGAAATATGAAGAGAAATGGAGTAGAAGGAAGGATGGAGAGAAGGTGATAGAACATACCACCACATTAACGGGATCATTCGCCCCAGCATACCAATTAGGTACTAAAGATCCGTCCGCCGAATAAGGCGGTAGAGGATCTGTAGGTCCTATACCCAAGAGTGAACGTATCTTTCTATCAGCATTTCTCATTACTCTACACAAATGACAGTTTTGAAGTCTCCCGGGTTATCTCTCATTTCTTCTGTACTTGAGATCAAATTCTCTGCTCGTATGTACGCCACTGAGTCCGATCTCTTTCGGAGTAAATGACCCGCTCTACCACGCTATGTTGCAGTCATGTTTTCGACGCTTATCCGCAACAGGGGATTGTCCACTAATCCGATAGTTCGTGATAGATGGTAGAGGAATCAGTGAGGGCTGAGGACCACCCACCTTAGACCTAACAGCCTTACCTAACTCTGTTTTCCTACTTTTCTCCACCCTTTTTCCAGTCTCCAAATCCCTCTCCTTTCCTGCCCTACTCTTCGACCTCTTTCCACTCTGCTTCTTCCCTTCTTTCTTCTTAGACTTAGAAGCTGACTGATGTTTCGAGCTCGATACTTGTTGTCGGAGACGTAAAACCTCTGCTTTAAGTTGATCTTGTGTCCAATCTTTCATCTCATCGGCATCTTTTTCTCCACTCGTCTCCACGATCGTAGCCTCAAGAGTGTGCCCTACATCTGATGTGAGAGATACTGAGTTATCTTCTAGAGACACGGGATTCGTGGGATCGAGGTGGGGGAGAAGTTGAGGTTGGAGGGAATGTGTCAGTTCCGGAGTAAGATCAACATCGTCCAATGTCGGATCGATCTGAGCATCGTTCTCATCGTGTTCATCGTGTTCAGGTTGCAATGCCCTTGGAGAAGAGTCGAAATATGGTCTTACGGAGTGGGTTCGTTCCATGTCGAAAAGTGAGGATGACAATGTGGAAGGGGGGCGGAGAGGTGAAAGAGGTGTCAGGGAGGGGGGACGCGGTTAGTGGAGGGAACAACTCGTTCTCTATACACTATCTACCCCTAAACACCATATACATCGAACCACCGACGAACACCCGCCAGTGCCGGTATACGTTATATACGTTGTAGAGGGAGAGGAGGTAGGTAGGTAGGATCTCTTTGGTGCACTGGCTTGTTCGGGAAAGACAATGTGGTGGGACACTTCTTTCCCTTCCTCCCCTCCTTCCCCCTTCTCCCGCTCCCCTCCTTCCCGATACAGTCGGAACTTCTTCCACCAACAACTGTCGCCTGCGTCTCACCGTGTCTATGATCATTCAGCTCAGGTGACTGGTAAAGATACATAAGCCAAGCTGACCACCAGCAAGCATATTCTCAACGCTCAAGTCTCCATCCGGGCACCTTGCTGCAAAAAGTTTTTCGACGTGAGCTATGATTTCTTTCTTATTCATTTGGTCATCTCTCATCATTCCTCTCTACTCGCTCGCTTCTACCCATGTCGTGGTATTCTCAAGTGCTATCCCTAGGGATCCACATCTCATCGGTCCCATCACCGTTCTTGGTTCCCCTCTGCCTTCGGGATGGAGATGGGAAGGGGCCAATCTCATTCCTCAACGTTACAAGAAAAATCATGATTCCTACCCGTCTTCATTCCCACACCAGACTCGCTGAATAAAGAGTTGTTCTCTATCAATATGTGAAGCCCGCTCACCCCCAGTGCCCCGAATGTCACGCCGAAACGCAAGATCATCCGTTGGCAAAGACGATAGAGATGGCTTTTATATGTAAAAAGGCGGGTTATCAAAGTCTTTCAGTTCATCCCGAGCTATTTCCTCTCCTCAATCGATCCTATCCTCTCTCCTATACTCGTATGTTCTGACCCACAGTGTAAAAAGGCTTTCCGGAAAGATATGACCCATTATGAAGAGGCAGATGAATATTGCCCTCATTGTGATAATCACTATGTGAGTTTCATTCTCTCTGGCTCGTTCTATCTACCACCTTTGACTCGCCCTCCCTCCCACCCACCCACCCTGTCTGTCAAAGACTCGGACCATCAAATCATCTACCATGTATGAGTGTCGCTACACGTATATCTTTGGACCATGGCTAATCAACCAGGTCGTCGAGGCGAAAGAACCTCAAGCTATGATAGGTGTAGAAGGGGAAGATGCTCGTGTTGACGCTAGGTCAGTTTACATTCCATCTTGATCTAATCTCCCCAGATTGACGAATAGGATGATCAAAGACGAACGTGTGAAATCTTCAATACCTCGGAGTATGTTTTCGGAACGAGACGTTTCTGATAAGATTGGATAGGAGAGGGGATCTCGTTTTATTCTGTATGCATATACTCAATACATTCGTCGCTACGTGGCCGACACCATCACTGGACAACCGTCTTTGTATAGGCGGTGTGAGCGTGTACCGGATACGGGTGGTATAAAGTGGGGGGATCATATAAACGTACCATCTTAACTCAACAACAATAACCCCCCCTCCCTGCCCTCCTACTCCATTTTACCTATCCTCGTGTACTAGTACTGTTGACCCCTCTGTCGGTCACTCACCCACTTCGACCCATGTCATACTTATCCCCCCCTCCACCTCCTCCAGCCGGTGTCATAGTACCTTCCGATGATTGGACGGATGATCCTTCTTTCGACCTCTCACCAGCTCAATCTTTCGTTGCACCACCTTGGTCACCTTCCTCTTCTTCATCTTCACGTTCACATCATTCTTTCTCTTCCATCCGATCTCACACTTCTTCCCCCCTCCGTAATACCCTATCAAAAGCTTCACCACCACATCCACCACCGACCCATACTCAACCCACTCAACCAGCCGACAAACCCTCACGCGTCGATTGGGATGACGATGAATTAGATTTCGACTTACCTGATTCTTTCCCCGCTTTACCATCACGTTCACCTTCTTTCTCACCCACATCTATACCATTTCCTTCAACCACCAATTCATCCCTTACCCGACTCGACAAACCTACCCCCAATACCCGTGGAACACCCATGAAACAAGGAACAGGAACGATGAACAAGTTATCTGGAACCGTCATTGGTCACGGACCAAAAGGAGGGACTATAACCAAACTCGGTTCTACTCAATCACCATTTTCAAGAAATACAATACGTGCTCATCTTAAAGCTACTTCTTTAGCTTGGGAAGCAGATTTAGATTTCGATTCTATTCCATCTGCTTTTCCTTCTGTCTCCGCCCAACGCACAGACAGTTGGGCCAATACACTGAATTCGAACATGTTACCAAAGCCTAGAATCATGCCCGATGCCGATGCATTGGACGAATTAGGTTTCGATTTAGAAGATGATGAAGCTACTTTGAAAGCTGGTGCTACTTTGAAAGCTCTCCTACCTCCAAAGAGGAACGATGATACTATCAGACCGCACAATCGTTCTTCTCCTGCACCTTTCGTGGATCGACCCAACGCACCAAATCAGGATTTAGATTTAGAATCGGATTTAATACTTCCACTGAACTTGACGAATCTGAGTCTTGCATCACAATCACGACCCACACCTAAACCGTCAAAGACGGAATGGGATTCTCCAGGAGGTTCAACATCATCTTCAGCGCATAAACAAAGTAATTGGGATGATTCACCTGGAAGATCTAAAAGAGCTTATGAAACGTCCCATACTTCTCTTTCTATCAATTCACCAGACAGGGATCTCGCCTTCCCTCTTACCAAGAAAGAGGGTGTGAAAGATGTGAAATTAGGTTCTAGTCAAATGGAAGATGAAACGGATATGGAAATAGGATTAGTGATTCCAACTCTAAATTTCTTCTCTACTGCAAGAGCGAAAGAGCTCAATAACATTCTTGATCGTAAACGTAAACCTCAGTTCGCTCCTCCTCAGCCTCAAACCAACGTCATGAGGGGAGAAGAATTAGGAGGTGGAAGACATCAAAGACATGGGACTGATGATACTTCTGAAACTGTCGATTCTTTCGAAGATGGTTTAGTACTGGATAACCCTCGTGTGGATTTATCTCAACATCGTTTACGTAAAGCAGGTCGTGTAAGAGCAGGTGGAATAGGATCTGGGTTATTGCCTCCACCATCTTCTAGACGTAAAGGTTTGACTACTATCGGTAAAGAGAAATGGGAAAGATGGAAAGGTACTTCTGGTGTTTATCCATTCCTTCAAACTGTTAAAGAAAAAGCATCGACTTCAAATCAAGAGTCATCATCATCATCGTTATGTTTGAAAATTTCTTCTGAGAATACCAATCGTCGACCTTCAAGTCCTTTGAGTAAAGAATTCGATCCTACAGCAACACCTTCGAAACGTCAATTATCTTCAATCCCATTATCTTCTCAAAAAGGTACGATGCCACCACCACCAACTTCTCTTCAAACTCCTGGAAGTAGGTTGCGACATCAAAAATCTCATTATCATCTTTCGCAACCACCACAATCACCATTATTATCAAGAAAACAATCACTCTCTTCTTTACAAGATGCGTTAAATCACGATGCTCCAATAGGTTTACCTTCCACATCTTCCATTTCTTCCATAACTTCTCTCCCTTCTCTACCTCTCTCTTCACAAACCAAAACAGGTTCAGGATTCTCTCACACGGATGTAAGATCAGATCGAACCAGTAGTCTTGGTCGAACGACAGGTTCGAATCATTCTGTTCCTTCTAGTCTATCAAGTCACACAGGTTCAACTTTCTCCGCACCAGCAGTTGGTTCAGTACATGGAGGAATTTCAGAAAGTTTATCAACTACGAGTATTTCCGGTCAAACTGGTCGTTATCATAATTCAACTTCACGTTTAACAATGCCAACGACAAGTACAAGAGCAAAAATGAGACCGCCAGTTCAAAATGTTTTCTCTACTAATCCACCATCGACATCGACATCTGTGGGAAGCAGTAAAAATGCGACGACCGTGAAGGATAAAGATTTACCTACAGGGACGTTCGGGGCGAGTAAAAGTGCAGGTTCGTTGAGAGAAACTTCAGGAGGTTTCGGAAGTAGTAAAAGTGTGACTTCGTTGAGAGATACTTCAGGCGGTTTCGGAGCAAGTAAAAGTACAGGAGCATTGAAGGATTTGTCGATAGGTGGGAAAAGGTTAATTCCAAGAGTTATGGAAGTCCCGAAGAGAATAAGGAACTGGGGGGATGGGACGGAATTAGAAGGGATCGAAGATTTGGAAGTGGAGAAGAATGGTACGTCGAGTTTTTTCCTGTGTTTTTTCGTGGTTTCGCCCTCCACGACTTTTCCTCTTGGTCGATCTCGCTCTTTTCTAGTTATCTGTCCACAAGAGAATCTCATCTTGTACCAACTATATCGTCATGAAGTCGAAAGAGGAAACAAGGCTGACAACGAGCCCCCAGCCCACCTAGACAAATTGGCTCCTGGAGTCGTCGAGAACGTAAAGATGTCGAAGTGGGAGAAAAGAGGAAGAAAGGTGTGTCTGGTGGGATTGGTGGGACGAATGGTTTGGGTGTGACGGGAGGGACGGGTGCAACGGGTGGTTCGGGAGGTTCGGGTGGATCGGGATCAAGGAGAAAGGTTTTGAAAAGACCCGCTTTGTTGATCAAGCATCTGGGAGGGGTAGATAAGAAGAAGGGTGAGTTGATGATTTCTATCTGCTCCTGTCTCTCTCTCTTTCGCTTCTTTGTCCCTGGCGCATCCCATATGTCGATTCTCTTGTCCTCCTCAGATGTCCCTCTCCCCTGTTCATGTTTCTTTCTTTCAAAGCAAATTTCTCTTCGCATTCCCTACCTCCCCATGCACTTTAGTTCTTCTCCTCTTTCACCCCTGCGCCCTGCTCTTCCGTGAGCTACGGAAAGTCCACTAATCCCCAGTGGTCGGCGATATGACCTGGAATCCCACCACTCTTCGATGGGAAGGCAACGAATCGGTTTTACGTGATTTCGAATCTGTATCATCTTCCACTCGACCGGCATTGATCACGCATTACACAGCGGGGACAACTACCATCCATCCGCATCCTGCTCCTCATTCCTCTCATACATCATCCCACATCCAGACATCACAATCGTCACAACCATCACAAATACATACATCACATCCTCGATCTAATCTTGAAGCCGAAAAACCTCATGCACTCACCGCGGCAGCTACCATCCGTATCGTTGGTGATATGCGATTTGACCCACTTCAAATGTGTTGGGTATCTTTAGTCGATGAAGAAGATCCTTTCGAAGGTATGGCGGATGATGAAGATGATTCTCCAATTGGAGCTATGAACTCTTTCGGTGTTGGTCCTCCATTAGGTGGAGCAGATGGAGGAGGAAATACGATTACACGTGCGACAGGAAGAAGATTGATAAACATACTTCCTCATTCTCATAACACCAGCGTATCATCAAGATTAGCATCTGAAAGTAGCGCTACGAGTAGTGTCGGTTTTCCTTTCTCTGGTTGGGGTAGGAATCCCGTTTCTGGAGGAGAATGGGCGGAAGGTAGGAAATATGAAGGTTACGAAATACCTCATTCTTTAGTATCGGAATGTAGAGAAGCGGAGGAAAGACATAAGAGAGAAATGAGAGGTTGGACAGGGTTGAGATTGAGGTCGGGTACCGTAGGCGTCGCAGGTGTCGGTGGTCTATCAAATAATTTGGTCGCTATCGGTAACGTGGGTGTCGTTGGTGTTGTAGGAGCAGCAGGTGTTGGTGAGGTAGGAGCACGAGGTGGAGGAGAAGGGGGAGGAGGAGGAGGAGGGGAAGACATGAGATTCCTAGAAGATAGGAAAAGAGAAGAAAAGAGATTATGGGAGTTAAGAGGTTTAGTCATGAAAAGTTAGGATGTTTTATTCGACTTTTCTTTCACCGTCAATACCTCGTAAAGTCAGGATGCATCGTCTTGTAACGTTCCATACCTCAAGTTTGAGTGTCTTTGCAAGGTAGATCAACTTGCTAGGGCGATAGTTGAGAAAGACAAAGGCTGTGCGTCTTGGTTCTATGGGTTAGAGGGAGAGAAAGAAAGGAGATGCTGCCAAATCGGATCTCACCAGAAGCTACGAGTAGTGTAGAATCTAGAACGTGAGAATTTCCAAATGAGTGGGGAAAACACAGGTTTCTTACCTTTCTTCCTAACCTTCACTCAGTGTACTCATGTACTTCCTCTACACCCAGGCCTTCTCAAGTATCTCAATTGGGTTTCAAAACTCGACGACTCTCCTTTCCCCTCGAATCCACCTTTGATTGAACTTTTCACCGCCATTTCTCTACGTTTCCATCCCAGGAGGTCGAGGAGGGAGAGGGCAGGATAGGATATAAAGCGATTGGATTTCTCTATCTTACACTCTCTATATCCATATTCAACTTTTCCCGTAGCGATTACAACTTGTCTTTTGGACAACGCGAATCTGATTTTATTACGTTTTTGATCAAATCCAACTAAGAATACCTACCCTCTCAGGAACATCTATCCACACTTTGTCACGTGGAAAACCAATTCTTGGGGTCCGTTCACATCACATCCTGACATCCTGTGAGTAGTCTTGTCCTCCTTCTTCTCATTCTAACATTATCGGTGAATCCAAATCATCAAGATTGTTTCTCCTTCCTTTACTTGAAAGATCAGATTGTGTTCAATGGACTTTGGACACCAGCTTATTTCACTAGAGCATCATGTCTCTCCCAGAAAATTCCAGTTCGATGCTTCAGAAACTCACACCTAGTACCACATTTAGTACCACAGTTGCTTTGGTGGCTGTGGTGTCAGGTGCATTTTTTATGTATTCCATGAATAGACTGTCAGACAGGTCAGAGAGAGATTCATTCCAAGCAACATTAACCATGGATGACCTGGAAACCCAAGAGGACAGCCTCCCAATACTTGCGGATGAATGTATTAACCTTGACGAAATTGAAGATTTCCGAAAGGCAGGAACCAATATTACAAGAAGTCTGTACTTGCCTATACAGAATGCCAGTTTTTTCGCAGGGGAAATTGTCACAGCTCAAATTGTCATTGATGACTTTAAAGGGATATTCACATGTCTGGAATCTGTCACACGGGGTTCCATCAATGGTCGGGACTTCCGCATGATTGTGATCAGAACAGATTATACATGTGTGGTACAAGAAAGCTTCACAAAGGTTACCGTGTATTTGGCTTCTGGCAAGCAAGTCGGCATCCTGTTTACAGCCCCTACTTCATTAACGCTAGGGACCTCACCCACAACTATCAAAGATGGTATTGAATTCAATGGATCAGTTGGCCCAAATATCCCTCTGGTTTCTGCTAGCGTAGGTACAAAATGGTCAAGAGAGCACTCACACACAACTCAAACACACCGTTTTCAAGTAAGTACCGGCCATGGGCTCATCAATCCACAAGAGGGCGCAGCGTCCCCAAAGTATGTGGTGGCTAGGATGGTGAGTGACCCAAAGTATGAAGCAGGATTACCACCGGGTCGTTTTGCCTTTGCGGTCAGTGGGGACGAGGACTTGATCATCACAACCACCTCGGCTCATGTAAGAAGGCTCAGACGAGTGGAAAAACTGCAAGAAATGTGGGGGAAAAAAAAAGAGGAGCAATCCACCCCGATACTCATTCCGCATGGCAAGGAATATACCACTCCAAAAGCCGTAATTTGTGGGGTGAGTTCTGATTTGACACAAGTTGAGTCGCAACTGTATCCATCCCAAGCGCACTCCCTATAGTCTGGTTGTTCTTCTTACATTCTTCAGATCACCCACTACAAAGATTGCAGGGGTCATATCCTTTGAATTTCTGTGAATACTACCTGTGCATCATATACTCAAGTCCACTCAGCTTTATTCAATCCGTCTTAACTCATACAACGTGTGCATCATCCAGTCCAACTGTCACGGCCGTCGAACAACTACTTTCTAACAGACCGACGGTCAACAAACCTCGGCTAACTTGACGCTTCTAAGTCGATGTCTCACCCAACCGGGAGGGCACAGACGTCGAAAAGAGTGTAACTACGGCGTACTTCGGCGTAGTTACTCTGACTGGGGTTTTGTTCTACTGATGGCGATGTATCTCAATTTGTATATAGCTATCTCTATCTGGCTTTCACTACTGACAACAATCAAGGATCGCTGAAGATCTTCAGCGATCTTCTCAGCTAATATTATCTATTCCTCCTAGACGTTCATTCAACCCTCTCGCGCTTTGACGTACTTCAACGCACTTCGTCCAACTTCCCTGAGTCCCCGGCCATCCTCTTCCTCCTTCGACTAACTCCGCCTAACATCGCCGCACTTCTGCTCCCATTGTCCCTACCTAGCCTAACTCCGTCTAACTTCGCCGTACTTGGTCTCAGATGTCCTGAGTTACGTGTAGAGTAAAGAGGTTAAGGCGTGATGGGGGTTTTGATGGTCAAAGGAGGGTCATTGTTGGTGGAATAATCGAGGTGTCACGAACTACGTTGTGACACCAACCAACTGAGACCAATTGTGGCGATGTTATGACCACTGACGGGTACAATGGACCAACTTTGGCCAAGTTAGGATAAGAGAGAAGAAGGTAAACCTAGGTTAGGCGAAGTTAGGATAAGGAGGAGTCAGGGATATGAGCAGGTACGGCTAAGTTAGGCAAAGTAGGTCTGAGTGTGAGGGACAGTGCAGAGTTGAGAGAGAATCTATGTGGGAGAGAAGTAATATAGATAGCTAGCAGGTCGCTGCAGTTCTTCAGTGATCCTTGATGGCTGTCAGTAGCGAGAGATATATCCGGTAGCTACAACCATCAAGCATGGGAGAGCGACCATCAAGCAGTTTGACGTACTTCTATAAGGTCAGCCGCAGCTCATCAACGATTGCCCTATTGGTTCTCACCCAACGTATGACTACGGCGCAGTTAGCTGTAGCTCCCCAATGATTACCTTGTCTCTGTGGGACATCAACGCCCTAGTTCGACGAAGTCAGCTGAGGTTTGTTGACCGTCGGTCAGTACAGAAGAGAAGACACAGTGTTTGTGACACCAACCACCACCATTCACCCTCCTTTCACCATCAACCACAACAACCCCGTACCACTGAGACCAACTATGGCAGAATTGCAAGACCCCAAGGGTATTAGTGAAGACTGTCATGAATATATGGAGGATGAGGATGAAGCCGCAATGGCATGTCTCAAACAGTCTTAAAGGCAAAAGAACTTAGAGTAGAGAGCTAGAAATGAAGATGACAAGTGATCAGAAAGCCAGAGAAAGAAACTGTCACAGACATCATCTTCTCTCCTTTGTTTGGACCGACCATTGACAAACCTTGGCTAATTATGTTGTACTAGTGCAATAATGTCACAGTTGTTGTTTCTTCTCCTCTACTGACCAACTGTCGACAAACCTCAGCTATGTCACGCCTCTTGACTAACTTCTATCTAACGGACCAACGGTCAACACACCTCGGCTAACTCCATTCCTCGGCGGTGGATGTCTCACCCAAGCAGGAAAGCGTAGACTTTGATCTGATGGCAACTACGCCGTACTTTGGCGTAGATACTCTGATTGGGGTTCTTTGACTGGTGGCAAGATATCTCAATGTAGGTGTAGCTATCACTATCAATCTTCATACTGACAACAATCAAGGATTGCTGAAGTTCTTCAGCAATCTTCTCAGCTAATATTATCTACTCCTCCTAGATGCTCATCCAACCCTCTTGCGCATAGACTTACTTTGACGCACTTCGGTCAACATCACCAAGTGCCCGACCATCTTTTGCTTCCTTCAACTATCTTCGCCTAACTTCGCTGTACTTCTGATCCTATTGTCCCCTAATCCACCTAACTTTGCCTAACTTCCCCCAACTTTGTCTAACTTTGCAGTCGCTATGCCCCTGATGCCCGTATCCCTCATTCTTCCGCTGTACTTTGCCGTGGTTGGTCTCAGATGTCCTGAATTACGTGTAGAATGAGGAGGTGGAGGTGTGATGGGGGTTTGGTGGTCAAAGGAGGCTCGTTGTTGATGGGATTGTGGGTGTAGTGGATCCGACCGTCCCCTACATACTGATCAGTACCAAGCTACTAGATTCGCTTCCAGACACCCCCACCCCTGTCTCTTGTCTGCATATCATAGTCTATACAAGTGCTTATACGCACTTGCCTCAGTTACGCCTTCTCTACCTTTACTAGTATATAGTATTTACGGATAACGTGTCAAAGACGCAGATTCTGTCACGTCTTTCCTACGTCAAACGTTAGCTCATTTATGCATATAAGCCGGGTCTGAGGGGGATCTCTTCCTCCATTGTCTTTCTTCTCCCATTGTCTTTCTTCTCCCATTGTCTTTCTTCTCCCATTGTCTTTCTTCTCCCATTGTCTTTCTTCTCCCATTGTCTTTCTTCTCCCATTGTCTTTCTTCTCACTTCTTCCTCCCCTTCCTTCTTTCCCTCCCTTTTCCCCCATCCTCTCTCAGACCCTCTTTGGTTTCCTTGACACACTCTTTACTTACATCTACTGACCTTTGATCATTGCTGGCTAGTATTATCCACATCACAGAGTTCCGATTCAGTATCCAGCCCTACGGGTAGGTTACAATTATGTCACGAACTATGTCGTGACACCTCGATTATTCCACCAACAATGACCCTCCTTTGACCATCAAAACCCCCATCACGCCTTAACCTCTTTACTCTACACGTAACTCAGGACATCTGAGACCAAGTACGGTGAAGTTAGACGGAGTTAGGCTAAGTAGGGACAATGGGAGCAGAAGTGCGGCGAAGTTAGACTGTCACGGACGGGGTCTAATCCCCAGAGGGTAGGCAAGGTGTCACAAAGTGTGTGACAAGTCGAGCGAAAGTCGGGGAAGGGTATTTAACCAGCGATTGGCGGTAGTGTTAACCGCCGATTAATAGGCCTTTTCGTCGCAGTGGTTTAGATCACTGTTCCGTTGGGCACTGTTATATTGTGCATATGCTGGTCAGTATGTCTCGTGACACAAGGTGACTGGAATGGGGCTGTGACCCAATACTTGTCTCGGGCTCGTAGAGCTGAGGAGTATTCAGAGGGTGACAAGGGACTGAGGTGTCACGAGACCAACTAACCAGCATTGGGACGATATAACAGTGCCCTTCAGAGACAGCGGTCTAAACCACTGTGCTAAAAGGCCTATTAACCGGCGGTTACTGCAAACCGCCGGTCGCTGGTTAAATACCCAACCCATCCTGTCACTATCACTATCCAAACTGACTTGTCACTTCGTGACATTATGCCTTCCCTTTCAGCCCCATCTGGGGCCCCAACAGGGATGGGCATGATAGGCCGAAAACTTTCTCCGAGAGGGAGGTTTTCCAAGTAGGTCTGGGTTACCCCAGCTCTGTCTGGGAGTCGAACCCAGGACCCTACCCGTAACCGCCGGTTAATCTGTCACGAGACCAACTAACCAGCATTGGGATGATATAACAGTGCCCTTCAGAGACAGCGGTCTAAACCACTGTGCTAAAAGGCCTATTAACCGGCGGTTACTGCAAACCGCCGGTCGCTGGTTAAATACCCAACCCATCCTATCACTATCACTATCCAAACTGACTTGTCACTTCGTGACATGAGGGGACTGAGGGGACTGCAAGATGTCAGGCTGGGACTGACTGGGTTGACACAAGATCCATAGGTGGGGAACAACCTGTTTGGAGGGGGTATTTATCCCCATCAAGCGGGTTGCTCAACATGTCTACGGAATAAACTAGAAAGCGCAAACATGGGAAAAATTGCTCAGCGAGCAGACTGAATTACTACTTTGGGAAAGTGGAGGCAGGCACTGAATGTTCCGGACTATGGATGATTGCTCAGCAATCAACCAGAGTTACTACTTTGGGAAGGTGGAGGCAGGCACAGAATGTTCCAGAGTGTGGAGGCTTGATAAGCAAGTGGAGGTAAAGGTGGAGGCAAGGGTGGAAGGTTCCAGCATGTGGAGGTGGAGGTGGAGGTATTCAGGGGTATGCGTTTCAAGTGTCTGATTGCGCAAAAGCACTTTGACAAGTGGCAGATAGGTGATGTATGACATAGACGGAGTTAGGCTAGGTAGGGACAATGGGAGCAGAAGTGCGGCGACTTAGGCGGAGTTAGTCGAAGGAGGAAGAGGATGGCCGGGGACTCGGGGAAGTTGGACGAAGTGCGTTGAAGTAAGTCAAAGCGCAAGAGGGTTGAATGAACGTCTAGGAGGAATAGATAATATTAGCTGAAAAGATTGCTGAAGTTCTTCAGCGATCCTTGATTGTTGTCAGTAGTGAAAGATTGATAGAGATAGCTATATACAAATCAAGATACATTGCCATCAGTCGAACAAAACCCCAGTTAGAGTAACTACGCTGAAGTACGCCGTAGTTACACTCCTTTCGACGTCTGCGCCCTCCCGGTTGGGTGAGACATCGACTTAGAAGCGTCAAGTTAGCCGAGGTTCATCAACCGTTGGTCCGTTAGACAGAACTCGTTTGACACCCGTGACATCCATGATGATTCAGAGCCTTCTGTAAGTTCAATCAAAATGCTGTTTTTGATACAGGGTTTCCTCAGAGTTTACCCCCAGGAAGTAGGAGAGGAGCGGAAAGAGTTTTAGGCCCATTTTGGGGTATTGTCATGAAGGACGTGACAAGTTAGTTTGGATCAGTGTTAGCTTGGTTAGGATGGGTTGGGTATTTAACCAGCTACCAGCGATTGTAGATATCGCCGGTTGATAGGCCATTTCGTCACTGTGGTTTAGATTACTGTTCCATTGGGCAGTGTTATATGACCGAGGCGCTAGTTAGTCATGGTTTGTGACAATGTTATCAAGGAGGAAAGATATGTAAGGATGTGAAAAAGTTTTGTTCAAACATTGTGTGTGTTCAAAGGTCAAGTGTGCATCAGTACTGGCTTTCACTGCTAAGACAACAACCGGAGGTCATCAAAGATCTCTGGGGGCTTTGGCCCTTAAGTACTTCATCCCTCCCTAACTTTACCTCTGCCGAACTTAGTTCAACCCCAGTCCCAAAGCTTTGTACCTCACAAACTTTGTATCCAACCAACTTCCTAGCAACCTAACTTTGTACCTCCCTAACTTGATGTCTCACCAACTTCCTGACTGACTAACTTTGTCCTCAACAAACTTAGCCTCTTCATACCCTTGTGGGTGGTGAAGTTCATGAAGGCGGGATTGTTGATGACAAACTGATGCCCAAGGGAACCTCATTTGATGGGAAGGAAAGTGATGTCACATATTGCATGACATGGTGATGGTGATGGTGATGGTCAGGGCATGTCAAGATGTAGTTTGTGACACCACACTGCAGTTGTGTTACAGAGTAACAAAGACTCAAAGCAGAATTTATCAAACTTGTAGATAAGGATAGAGGAGAGCGAGAACTGGAGGTAAGTGCTGCAATTAGGTAGGGATGAGTTTTCCGTTTTTGGAGATTTCTTCACTGAATTTGCTCAAAAGCGGTTTTTCACCTGTCCAAGTATGTATGTAGATGCTTGCAGCAGGAGAGAGGAGACACAGACACCTGTAGACAGTATATATAGTACAAATCAGCAAAGTACCAACTTTGCTGATTCTTTAACATATCATTCTTTGGCTATATCGATTGCAGAGGAGACACAATCTGTCACATAACACTAGAGACACCTAGACTTCTACAGAGTTCCATCGAGTTTGATCCAACCTGGGACCTAGTCATTGTGTTTCCAGTACCGTCACACATTCCTTCCTATCAAAGAGCCAGAGAGACATTCATCAGGTCGCAGTCCCATTCTGTCCTGCACTCTTCCCCTTGGGTCATAATCCCCTCCTGTTCGGTCCTGTACCCCTCCTGTGTCAATGGTCTGGGTTCATGACATTTGGTTTCTATACAATACTAGTGTTCCAACCCGTGAAATTCACGGGAGCAACTGCAGATGGTTAAGATGAATTAGTGTATGCCCCAGTTCCCTAGTTGAACCATGCAGTCAAATTTCTAAGTTCATGCATAGCATACGCCCCAGTTCCCCACCACCCAGAATTAAATTCCCTCCGCCCCAGTTCCCAACATGTGGGAGGCTACTTACACTATATACACTACACACTATAAGTCTAATCTGAACTGCAAACCTATACACATTACATATTAAGCAGCCCTGGCTGCCAAGAGCACATCCTTATACACAATATTCTTCGTCTCACCTCTTCTCCCCTCCTCTGAATCCTCCAGCAAAACCTTGAGACCGTTCTTGAAGCGTGCGCGAGAGAGACCAACATACAGCTGACCATGGGTAAATACCGGTTTTGATAGACATAAGCCGACTGTTGCGAGAGATTGCCCTTGTGCCTTGTTAATTGTGAGAGCAAGACCGACTCGTATGGGAAATTGACTACGACACAAGGTGAAAGGTAGATTAGAGGATTTTGCTGTGTCGAGTTTGATACGCGGGATGAAACACTTATTTGAATGGAAGTCGCCCCCAAGAATGCACCCCTCAATAACATTTGGTAGAAGACGTGTCACATAGATCCGAGTACCGTTGCAAAGACCTGCAGCTGGATCCAAGTTCCGAAGTAGAAGAACTGTTCCCCCAACTTTGACAATTGTCTTGTGAAGAGGGAATCCGCCAATTGTGATTGAGTTGAGATATTCAACTGGCCAGAGTTGCTGATTCAAGGGTCGAGCACGCGGGTTTGAAGCACCGTCATTCTCCACGATCCAATCTGCACTGAGGTACGTCCGAGATTCCCCACTAAGCTGGCCAAGGAGGGTCTTGTTTAATTCATCAACTTCGGCATTGGTTGGAGCAAGAACTGCACGGTCTGCAAAGTACTGAAGAGCAACTTCTGTTGTTGGAAAGCTCTGAGCCAGGTTGGGATAGACATGCTGCAGTAACTCATCTGTTGACTCCACTCGCAATTCTGGAGGTATTCTCAAAGCGTCCGACTGTTCCCCATCTACCAAACCATCCCCTACCCTGAGAAGCCACTCTGCAAACCCACTTGCTTCCTCCCTCTCGATATCAGACAACTCGGCACTCTGGAGCCGCATGTTGATAGTAAGTTTGAGCCTTTTTACCTTCTGCCAAAGACGTGAGCTGGTCAAACATGCGCTCTTGATCTGTGCTTGACTACCTTTTGGCACCACCGGCAAACACTGTCGAAAGTCTCCTGCAAATACCACTACCACCCCTCCAAATGGCTCTTCAGAACCCCGCACATCCCGGAGCATGCGTTCCACCGCCTCTGCACAGTGTCGATGCTGCATGGGCGCCTCGTCCCATATGATTAGCCTGGTACGGAAGAACAGCTTTGCAAGTTCACTCTGTTTTGAGATGCTGCACTGCGAGTCGCCATGAATGTCGATTGGAATTTTGAACCGGGAATGGGCTGTGTGTCAACTCTGCACTCATTGAAATCAACACGGCTCACCTGTACGGCCACCCTTTAGAAGGATTGCACATATACCTGAAGATCCAACCATCAAGACAATGTCACCTTCCCCTCGCAAAACCGCTGCTACCATATTCTCCACAAATGTCTTGCCGCAACCACCTGGACCATCAAGGAAAAAGCACGCGGGTGTGCGAGCCCTGGTTGCCTGAACCACACCATTGATGACTGCCTGCTGTTCCGGATTTGCAAGGGCCATGTTGAGGGTACTGGTCTGTTGCAATTCTCTCATGTCGTAAGCCAATTCCTCATTTATAATGCGGCTATCAGTGTCTTCTGGAAAAACTACTGTTGGTTCAGGCAGATAACATCCCGCCAAACTCTTCCCCCTCTCTTCTAGCAAACCCCCCAGGAGATGTAACGCGTAGGAGAGCCGCTCCTCCACACTTGGGTTCTCCATCCATCCTTTCTGCCGAAGCATGTGAACACAATCATCACTCAACGCCATTGAGTGTGTCTCCCACAGGTCCGCCGGGCTGGAGGGTTGATTTTCTACCAAAATGATCACAAATAGTCGACGTAGCTGAGATCCAGAGGCATATGTTGCAGCTTGGGTAAGGCATTCATCAAGATCACGGTCGTCATCAAGTAGGCCAAGAGCAACACAGGCAGCTCGAAAGGTCGGATGCAGAGTATGATCAACGATACGGAGACTTTCAAAAGATGTTGGGCAGGGAACATGATAGAGCAGAAGTCGCAGATAATAGAGCTCCCCAGACTGAGGACCGGCAAAATACACTCTCCCAATAGCTGTTCCACGTTTCCGAGGCTTCCAAGCACGTTCCTTGGCGTGCCAACAGAGTAACTCGGGTACATCGGCATATATCTTGTCACGGAGTAACTCTGGATAGGTCTCGCAAGCTTTGAAGTACCCCAATAACCGGCTGTTGCGCTGAAGTTCCTCCGGTAGATTTGCACGTTTGTCTTCAGGCACAAATTGCACTTGATCTTCGTCTGGAAGATGGAGCTGAAGTCGTTCAACGGGTGGAAAGTGTCCATGCATGGGATTACCGCTCAGTCGCCAAACCGCTGATACAATGTTAGCTCAGCAGTACAATCCTCACTATGACTCACATTCAGATGCTGAAACCCAGCGCGCATCCACATACCGATTGATTTCATCAAGATCCACTTGATTGGGAACCACCACCACATTTGCTCGATCATGACCCTTATAGACATACTTGTACATATACTTCACTGCACTGATCGAAGTGCAAACCTCTACGTTGATGTGTGCATTGAATCGAGCTGATAAATACGGATTATAAGGAACCACATGCTGATTGGTATATGTAATACGGTTCTTGGTCCATGACCGTCCATTGTCTCGTCTTCGGTAAACAGGGTAACCATCTTGCTCCATTGTTGTCTCCGGTTGAAAAGCCCAGGGGAACTTCTTTGAACATCGGCCATCACGATGCATCTGGGCTTGGCATCGATCACTGCATGTATGCAGCATACAGGATGTTACAACCTTGAAAAGCACAGGCTGGGTCTCCTCACAGGGGAGTTCAGCACATACAATCTTGTCAACATCAGCCGGTGTGCGTGGTTTGTCATCTGGGGCAAGGCACAGGAGGAGATGACAGTGTGGAAGCCCCCGTTTCTGAAACTCAATAACCCAAATCCTTGCAACCACCTTCTCATCAGTAATCTCACCTTTAGCAGATACTATTGACGTACCTTTCCCAATACTCCCAACTTAAAAAACTCATGCAGCATGGCGTCAAGCTTGAGTGCAAAGACTCTTGAGACCAAGTCAGGGCGGTCTTGAGCGGTCTGTCCTGGTTCCAACTCTTGAGTGATCTCCGTCCAGGTGGGATTGCATGTGATCATTACAAATAGGTCAGGCTTTGTCACATGTGAGACAATAGCCATGGCGTCCTGGTACAGGGCGTGCATCTGACGCGGCAAACCGGCAAACGTTGAGGGGAGCACCACCTTTTTGCCTACATCAACCAAAGAAATGCCAGCATCAACCGCATCAACCAATCCCTTGTAAGATTCAGCTCGGAGAGTGGTTTGATTCTCTCGGATCCATCGCAGACGGTTTGATTCGGTCTGGGCCCACTGATCCACCAATAGCTCCTGAAAGAGTCGTCCACAATAGAGTGCGGTGTTGAAATTGCCTGATCGTTTAAAGAGATAATAGGTTGCAAATTGTGCTTGAGTCACTCGCTTAGATCCTCCACGCCCATAGTGTCTTACTTCAGCTACCAATCCACCATCTCCAGCATTTCCATCCTCAATATCTTCCCCCTCACCAATCTCGTCATCATCTCCCAGTGGTTGCCCAGCCAAAGGGATCCTTGGATGCCATCCCGGCTCTCCGTGTGGGTATGTCATGAATGACGCCATCACGTGTTCCTTGTTGCGCAAAACAAGTTCAACCTCCACTTCCGTGTTTTAATATTTCACCTCTGCTCTCATGCCTATCAGGCATAAACTCCAAGTATCATTCTAGTATGTCGGTGCTTAGCTCCCATGCCTGCAAGGCATAAGTCCCCAGTAATTCTCTAGTCTCTAGTCCCTCTGTTCTAATGCCTGCTAAGGCATAATCTCTCAGTCTCTTGTTCTCGCAGCACTTCTATGGTCTGCATAGTTCCTCATCGATCACCTTCGACAAAGTCGAGCGACTTCCGGCGCATCCCGTAGGATGTCATAGTAGGACGTAGGTAAACGCAGATATGGCATCGTAGGATATCAGTGGTTATCGGTGGGATGCAAGGCAATGCATGCAGGACAGTGCAGGACGGTTCAGGACGCTCGTATTCCGCAGGTCTGCACGAGCCTCTTGGAAAAGGCTGATTTGTCTATATAAACCCTATCTTGTACTTTGTAGTCTTCTTTAGTTCTTGATCAAAAGTCATTTCCATTGCCACCCTTTTGGAGTCCAGTCCAGTCCAGTTCCCTCTAACCTTGTAAGACAAGCCAGAGACATTCCTTGGGTCACAGTCCCATTCCTTGTTGGACTCAGTCTTGTTATCTTAAGTATATTCCTTGTCACTCCTAGTCCTTGTCCCCTTGTCCTTTGTCCTCTGTCCCAGGGTGGGCAGTATCCTTGACAGGGTATATAAGAGTGAAGTGCAGGGGAAGATATGCTGAGTGGAGTTCACTAATGTTGCGAACCCCACCGCCTCGCAGATAAACTTGAATGTGACGACCCGGGGACGGTTCATTTTCATCGGCAACATATACACATGCAACTTCATCTGACGTAGGTCGGTTATATCTGCGAGGGTCGTTTTGCAGAGGATTCAGAACTGTAAGATACAGAATCGGCGTGTCCTCTTCGGATTCCCTGTCACGGTCACGGAAAGTCTTGAAAGCAGCATAGTATGGGTTCACCCTTTCTATCATTTGCGCCAGGCGGGTCAGAACACCCTCCTCACCTCTCCCTCGGATGTGAATGTTTCGCTGAGCAGCCTGTTCTGCTTCAGACAGCCCCGCCAGGAAGACTTGAGCAAATCGGGGATGTTCTCCAGCTTCAGGAAGTAATGCCCCTATCTGGTGGTATGCTCGTCCGCCAATACGAAAGGTGTATATCCCTTGAGGTCCCCAAACTTGCATGTCTTGCTTATCAACACCCATCGAGGTGAAAGCAAGAGAATTATTATAATTTCGGAGCTGCTCCCGTCGCAGCTTACCTTCTAATGACAGTCAGTGTTCCATCCATTGAATTAAATAATGCCAGCTTACGATGTGTTTGATCTGTCAAGAGATCTCGAAGTTCAAGTGGAGGTTCCAATGGAAGTGGGAGCTGCACCGCCCCATTTGAGCAACAGCCAGAGAACAGGGGATTAGCCAAGGATGAGCGTTCCCCTCCTGCTGCAATATTAATAGCATGTTCCTCAAGCCAGTGCAATGCAGCACATTTTGGGCATGGGACCTCACAACGGCCCAACTGATGAACAGAAGTCCCATCAATGTAGTCTCTCCGAGCACGGCAATGTGAGTCAATTCGTTCTTGATTGCGCCTGGAACGCTGTCCAACTTCCCGTCTTGAAGGACCTGGTATGTCCTCATTTCCCAGTTCAGACTGCTCTCTCAGACCTCGTTCCCGCTCACGTCTTGCCTGCTGTGCAATCTGCCGACGTGTGAGATTCATTTTGATAGCTGATAGAGGACATGTGGTCAGCAGCTAATTGGCGGTATGTACCGAAAAACCCACATGTGAATAGTCTGTAGTAATTTATGGGTGCACGTTTGAAGAGAGCCAAAGAGATTAATGTAGTGTGTAGTAGAAGACCGTATGGGATGCACAGCACAGTAGACAGGGGTGTCCAAGAGTCTCCCCGAGTGTGGGCCGCGAAGGGCGTAGCGACGATGCGTAGAATGTAAAAGTTGTAAAGGTGCACGGTGGACCGGGGTGTCCGAGAAGTATCCCCGAGTGTGGGCCGCGAAGGGCGTAGCGACGATGCGTAGAACGTAAAAGTTGTAAAGGTGCACGGTGGACCGGGGTGTCCGAGAAGTATCCCCGAGTGTGGGCCGCGAAGGGTGTAGCGACGATGCCTAGAACGTAAAAGTTGTAAAGGTGCACGGTGGACCGGGGTGTCCGAGAAGTATCCCCGAGTGTGGGCCGCGAAGGGTGTAGCGACGATGCGTAGAACGTAAAAGTTGTAAAGGTGCACGGTGGACCGGGGTGTCCGAGAAGTATCCCAGAGTGTGGGCCGCGAAGGGCGTAGCGACGATGCGTAGAACGTAAAAGTTGTAAAGGTGCACGGTGGACCGGGGTGTCCGAGAAGTATCCCCGAGTGTGGGCCGCGAAGGGTGTAGCGACGATGCGTAGAACGTAAAAGTTGTCAAGGTGCACGGTGGACCGGGGTGTCCGAGAAGTATCCCCGAGTGTGGGCCGCGAAGGGCGTAGCGACGATGCGTAGAACGTAAAAGTTGTAAAGGTGCACGGTGGACCGGGGACGTCCGAATTCTTCTCCCCTATAGGTGGCAGGGAAGTCTCTGAGCCAAATAACATGTCACGGAACTGGTGAGCGCGAAAAAAAGCAAAAACACGGAAAAAAAGTCGATTTTGGCAGAACTTAGCCAAATTCTGTCCGTCCCGCTTTGAACTTAGCCAAATTTCCGTCCCGCTTCCCCTCTGCGGGCGTCGCCGCCGCTCGCCACGTGGTTTATCCCCCCAAGTTGTCTCGACATCATCTGTTATTATAATAGACTAGCGTGCCAACCTGTCAAATTGACAGGCCCGTCTCCTGCCTCTCAAGCTGGATCCGCAAAGTTGTGAACCTGTGAACCCGTGAACCCGTAGCCTCTCCCTTCTCTCTCTCTCTCTCGCTTGAAGGTAGTGAAGTTGTTGTATGCTTTACTTCCCTTCTCTGTCTGTCCGTGAATTAGTGGACCGCGGACCCGTGACCTCTCCCTTGTCTCTCTCTAGCTTGGTAGCAAGTCTAGTTCTCTCTCTAGCTTGGTAGCAAGTCTAGTGGAGTTGTGACAGCCTGCTCTCCTTCTTCTTCTCCTTCTCCTACTCTTCTCTCCTTCTCTCTTTCACTCTTTCTCTCTTTCTCATCACGGTTTATCATCACGGTTCATCATCACGCTTTATCCTCTCGCTTTATCCTCTCGCTTTATCCTCTCGCTTTATCCTCTCGCTTTATCCTCTCGCTTTATCCTCTCGCTTTATCCTCTCGCTTTATCCTCTCGCTTTATCCTCTCGCTTTATCCTCATGGTTCATCCTCTCGCTTTATCCTCTCGCTTTATCCTCTCGCTTTATCCTCTCGCTTTATCCTCTCGCTTTATCCTCTCGCTTTATCCTCTCGCTTTTCTCGCGCCTGCGGCCCTCGCCGCTCGCCACGTGGTTTATCCCCCCAAGTTAGCCTCTCATCATCTGTTATTATAATAGATAATACCATGCATCTCATCATATATCATCAAAGAGGGGTTCATCTCATAACATGTTCGGAAAATGTGGAGATTGTACCTTTGGGTTAGCATGACTTACCTCGTCCTTCCAATCACGCAAAATTCCTCCTGTCCGGTTTCTCCGAGTTGGTCCCCGACGCCGACAACTGATATCGTATCTGGCTTTCTGTCGAGCTCGACCACATCCTAGACTCATCTACTCTGCACCCATCCCGAAATCTGTTAGTTCATCCGATATGATCGACCAAATACAACACACTGTTGAATGGTTGTTAAACGACAGCCATGGTGAGAGTAGTGATCGGATCGTTCGGTCATGAGAAGATGGAGAGAAGTTGCAATAAAACCTGATGACAAGTCGGAGAAGAGAGAATTAGATCTGAAAGAGTCTTGAGAGACTAATCCACTTGTCCTTTCAAATCCACCACTCTATACTTTTCCATACCCGTCGAAATGGCCGCATGAGCTTTCCGGCAATCCCACATACGTTCATGTAACGGTATCTGTGGAATTGATCGGATACTTTTCCAACCATGTCCGTTGCCTTGGGTGGTGTCGGACGGAGTCGGATCGACGTAAATGGCTGCGGAATGAGAAGATAAAAAAGAATGTGTTTCTTGGTCAGAATCGAATGATAAGGTTGCTGTTACGTATGTGAGAGGGAGGGACATGTATCTGTAGATTTAGCATATTCCTCGTGTCTATCCAACACACCATGAACAACGATACTGTGATGGTGATCAAACATGGTGGATCATCGAATGGGCGGGAAGGGATAGATGCTGCAACTCTTCGGCGCGCCATAGAAATCGGACGACCGAGACAGAAAGGAAGGGCAAGCCGGGATTTGTGGATGCCTCAAAAGGGTGGAGACGGCTAGACAAGTACAATAGGAAGGGAGTTGTGATTGTCGAGAGGGGGAGTGAAAATGGAGTGGAGAGGTTACAAGCGGGTAGAACACCACCCACCCCTTGGTCATTATCCCCAAAGCCGACATCCGCTCCCTTTCGACAAAATGATCCATTATATACCCCGACATGGCCGGAGCGACATTGAATAATCGAAAGAATCGGATATAATTGGAAGTGGCCAAAGCTGCGTGAACCTGGAGAGCGTGATGCACCCCAGGATCTGCCTTTTCCGCCGGGGTCAGCTGAGCGAGCAATGCCGCCATATCTGTCATAAGTCGTTATCCTCACAACAGCCCTTGTTGCATAACCTGACTAATCTCTGCTCGAATGCAGGTGAAATCCACCGGGTGTGGTTTCAAATGGGCAGAGGTGTAAAACTGCGGAAAGAGTCAGGTAGGCTGAATTGAATCACAAGGAAGAGAGAATCACGGGGGATTAGTGAGAGGAGTACTGACCAGATCGATTCCGAGTATGCAACAGATAAATAATTCGATACGACAAGAATTCCTGCGGGTGACCTTTGAGACCGAGCTCGTATAGTTGACGCAACATTGTCTGACATTGATTATACTCTCCTAAGTCTTTCTATTCCGTCAGCTCATATCTCAGCTCGTATCGATAAGCTAACCGCTTCGAGGGCGATCCGAGCATGGATTTCGTATACTTCAACCGTGAACTCGTTCTTGATGCGTTGTACCTGAGTGTCAGGGTCAATTTTCTGCGGCGACAACAAAGTAGAGAGTCACGACGTCCGGATTTGATATCAGGCAGTCACAGTGCGGACAGCAGAGGGACTTTCGCTGGCCAAGAAAAAGGAAAGAGTCCAGACGGATCAAGGGCATCCTCCACTTCGGCTGTGAGGGAGTGAGCTGAGACGGCTGAAGCGCGATGAGTGACATAGTAGTTGTGTTTGACGCAGAGTCCGCACATTGGAGAATTGGTAGGGATGTTACAGGGAAGTGAGAACCCGACCCACTGTCAGATCCTGCCGCATACTCTTAAACTGATCCAGGGCGTAAGCATAATTATGATTCTCCTTCCATTTGGCTTTGAGCAGAGCTAGAGTTTGTTTCAGAATTGGAAGTGGCCGAATGTCAGCGGGGGAAGGTTCCTTATCGTCAGCTTTGTCTAGCCATGATGGCAGCTGAATTCAATGAACGGTACTCACACTGGTCAATCGGAGATAAGATTTTTCCAATTTCGTGTTAGTTCCTCGTATAGTATGACTGTCCCAGTCGATCACGTTCTGAATGTCAGCGTGTTGGTGAAAACGTGCCGTCATGAGAGCGTACGAAGCCCGCTCAGCCAACTGACGAGATGGTGGAGTAATCTGATCAGTGATAGTTCCCGGTACATGGCGGAGTAGAGGAAGGGTATGGTCACTGAAACGCCGACAAAAAAAGGAATCACATTGTGGACAAGGAAGATCGGTGCAGAGAGCAGAGTGGAAGGCGAATCTCGACAGCACGAGGAAGAAAAAAAGGTCACCCACAGGATCAACCTCCATCACTTCATCCCCACTATACCCCAACCCTCCTTTCCCTTTCAACCTCTTTCGTCCTATCAAGCCTCCCATCGGGGCGGTACCTACAGAGTCCAGATCGTTATCCCCCTCATCTCCAAACCATCTGTCGACATTCCCGAACCCGTTAGTCGAAGGTTCTGAGTTAGATTGAGTTTGAGGTTTGTTAAACCGAGCTGCTCGTCTGGCGAGAGCTTCGGTTTCTTCAGGAGTGGGGAAATGGTATGCTGATGGGAAAGATTTCTCGGAGGTGTCATTTCTGATATTAGCGGGGGTCCGTTTGTTCATCTGTCCGTCCTGGCCTGACCTGCAAAATCCACCCACAAGCCCAACCTTTGTAGTCCGAGCCGAGCCTGCCAGAATTGCATCGGGATGATGGAGTTGATATTATGAGCGGTAAAGGAGGTGAGGGTACAGATGAATGGGCGGTAGTTAGGTGCAGAGTGATACCAGAAGCCTTTCTGGAAGACACAGATACACAGATGGGGTGTAGAGCAGGCCGAGGGCGAGAGAACGGCGTACAAGTACGATTGTAAGAGCCAAAGGATCGGCCAACATACTCTGGACGGAGAACGACAACTCACTTCTTACGTCTTTTCTTCTTCTTCCCACCTTCCCCTTCTGCCGGTATCAAAGTCGCTTTCGACGTAGACGCAGTCGCAGTCATAGTGACAGGAGCGACATGAACGTTACGTGCAGGAGAAACATAAGGACCGTACCCACCTTGTCCACTGGGTGGTGGTGGAGGTGGTGGCTGAGGTGAGAGACTGGATGGATTGAAAGAAGGTTTAGAGGTATTACGAAGACTATGTGTTAATTGTAAATCCTCTTATACATACAAACTCCGAATCGTGAGTACAGATCGAAGAGACAGGGATAAGAAGTGGGGAGTGAAAGATATTATGATGGGTGGGACATACGAATCTAATTGCACTGTGGACCAATCAGTAGTTTGAATAGTATTATCTGCATGAGCTTTGAACAATATCTAATCGTCAATATCATCCTTTCATCTCAGACAATGATTCGTGTTCCAACACCCCCCATTATGGGAGGTGGGGTACGAGTACGATTGTGTGTTTTGGGAGTACCATGTCTGTGTTGAATATAGAGAGATGAAACGTACCTGCTTCAACTCTGCATTCACAGATGCTTTCGTACTCGGTGTAGCTTTAGCCAAACAATCATGTACCCAAGCTCTGTGAGATTAGTCATTTTGATGCTTTCTTAATGAGAGTAAGATCGTTGAGACTGACTTTAGTTCCGGAGGCCAGGAAGAAGACATGTTGTCGTTACCACCTTGATTCAGTGATGAGTTTGACACTACGAGGGGCTCTGGGAGGGGATGAGGATTAAATGGAAAGAAATATGAGAAATATATATGATACGACATGGGAAAAGCGCGTCATAGGACATTTGGTTGTCGCCACCAACAACGATCGACATCCAACCATTTCAACTCTCATATTCAATCTTTCCTTGTTTCTTCAAGAGACGACGTTAATTCCATCATCTCAGTGATCATAAGAGAAGCTCCGAGTCCGTCGCAAGTCTTAAACAACCCGCAGACAAGAATCACCGTCTGTCCGCTTCGATGGCAATGGCTAGAAGTATGGCCGTGGTCAAAAAACAAGCCGCTGTTTTGGTACATGAACTCGAAAGTCCTGTATTAGGAGCGAGATTAGCTAGGTCGCCAATCCAAACTGAAGGATCTTTGTCGAGTAAGTCACTCTTATTCATCCATCTTCCGTCTCATTCGATACTATCCCTTCCGAAGTGGAGAGTCACGCTAATCTCTACAGTATCAGAACATCTCTCCCTTCGTCCCCCTAATCATCTCCCATCCAACCCCCAATCTCTCAACCTATCTCTTCTGAGTGAGAACATCCCACTGCGACAAACCAACGAATCTCTCGGAAGCACCCTTACCAAACCATCCCCCATCCACGGTGAACCTATCACCAAACCACCTCTTCCTTCACAAGCTATCTCACCCGGTCAACTTGGTAAACCTTCGTTACCCATACAAACTCAAACTCAAATTGTCGAGTCAAACATCCTACATCGTCTTGACCCCAGTGCTAATCAAATACTCAACGGCACCAATACCGAGGCTTCTCAAATCATGTCTCGGACGGTAGATTGCGTGAAGGTAGAATCGAAAGTCGTTAAAATACTAGAAGAAGAGACTGGGTTATCGGTTAAAGAAGCTTTGAGTAATGCTGGTCAAACTGGTGCAGAAGAGACTTTGGATGATATGGGTGATGTGGTCAGGGGTTTGGGGGGATGATATGGTTATTATTCTTCGTTACTTCCTCTTCACGCTATCCACAATACCTTTTCACTCCGTCTTATCTTTTAACACGAGACTGCCCTTGTTTGTGCTGTAGCCCTAAGTCCTGTCTGCTTGTTGTGATGCATGTATACATACACGAGCTCTCGCTAAACACAAGAGTTGTACGACTGCATCTCCCGGGTAGTCACTCACGGTGATAGGCTCGCGAACTGGCCTAATACTGTACAACGAGGTCGGAGGCCCCGCGCATAATGCGGCAAATCCGCGGGGGCGGGGCAAAGCGGCAATGCGGCATCCCGGGAGTGGGGACCGCGGGGAAATCGGCGTTTCCTAGCTGTATTCCCGAAAGTGGCATTCCTTGAGCGGCAAAGCAGTAGGCACCAGCAAAAGACGAGATCGCGCCACCGTGGCAGGTTTGTTTCCTTTCCTCCCTTCCCCCCCCCCTTTCCTTATCTTTCTCACTCTACTCACTCTACTCACTTTCCTCTTTCTTCTTCTTCTCACCTACTTACTCATATCAGTATCACCACTTTGATACACTCTTGTACATAGGTGAGTCATTGAGTCATCCATACATCACCTAAACCCACTCGACGGTAGTAAGGATACGTAAGAATGATGATGGGTGACCGGGGGTGACACGGACACACGTTGATCTTGCCCCATTTTTTCCCCATTCCCCCCCCCCCTCATTCCCCCATCTCTCCCACGTTCAAACCTCTTTCCATCTTCTTCTCTTATCCCATCCCATGGAAATGGAAATGGACATTAACATCCTTTCCATCTCTTTCTTATGATCTATCATGGTTCTCGGATATAATATAACTATATGACAACGATCTGATAGTTAGAACTACTCTGGGTGAAACAGAACGTTCACACAAAGAAATCCTTTCCCACACCTTTTCTTCCATTACTCATCATCACACATCCATCTCCTTCCCTCAATCTAACCGAACCCACGCCCTACTTCCCCCACGTCATCGCCTCATCTTGGCACGTAAACTTTTTCATACGGGTGATAATTTCCGATCCGATCCGTTTATCCTTCATCTTCACCCTAGAGACATCTTTCATCGTCAAGTGAATTGCTTTCTGTCTCGCATCACATATCAATCGATTTTCTCGAATCTGACATCCAAACATTTATATTGTTGTCTCTTCTCGAATCCTCTCTCACCTTCCGCGGCCACGAGGGTATCGATTACTTGCAACAATACACACTTCGGCATCTGCTGTGTAGTATCGGTCACCAGGTCAGATCGACACCATGTCATCCATTCCTAATATGGCAGCGGCGGAAGAAGCACCTCCTCCCACTCAAACTTTGGCCGTCGATCCGGTGACGGGACGATTGGATCCGAATGACCCAACTGTAAAGGCGCTCACAGAGGCGGCCCTCAATCCGGATAAGAGCAAGATTCCTAGACCTTATAAGTGTCCTTTGTGTGATAGAGCGTTTTACCGATTAGAGCATCAGGTGAGTAGTCTCACCATCTACTCATTTCGCGTGTTGGGCATTGACCGTCGACTTCCCGGCTGGCTTCTCCCTCTGTCACACCCGTCTTTCACCCTCAGCACCCCAATTCTGCTAGTCGCTTTTTGAGTGCGGGTTGTAGAAATATCGTAGCTGACCCAAGACACGTCACATTCGAACTCACACAGGCGAAAAGCCCCACGCCTGTAACTACCCCGGTTGCGACAAGAGATTCTCCCGATCAGACGAACTCACTCGTCATGCGAGAATACACCTACCCGTCGGAGCTGGCGGAGAGAATGGTGGGCAGGTCAAAGGCAAGCACAGGTTTGATGAAGAGGTGAGTTATAAGACATCCGCTTATTTCATTGAACTTCAGCCTGATGCGGAATGTGGTTGTTTTTGTTTTGTCCCAGGCGCTGACCAACAGGAGGAAGATGACCGTCATGCATCCCATCTCGGCCCATCTTACAATATGGACTTTGATCGCCCCGACTACCCTCCCTACAACCTCAACCAAATGTCATCCGGTGGACTGAACGACATCTCCGCCCTCGCCGCCGCCGCTTCAGATCAACTCTACGAACTTGAACGCCACGAGGCATTCCGACGAGCTGAATACGAGCTTCGTCATCGTCAAATCGCCGATGCGCGTGCCAAGAGCAATGGTAACTCTCCCGCAGGAACACCCGGCAATTTTGTCCCATATGGTTTGAGCAATTCCAATGAAAGAGATTCAGCCTCTCAGTCGCTCAACAACACCCACGCGTCGAGTACTGCCCCTGGAAACGGCGGCCAAGTGGTGTACCCGATATCAGCGGCTCAACCCGCCACTCACAACCACCCAGCAGTCCCTGCTGGTTCATTGGCAGATCCCACCTACCTCGTGCCACCATCCTGTTGTCATGAAGATTGTCACAAGTCGTATCGTAAACGGCTCAAAGCAGCTAGACAAACTCAAGCTTGTCCCAACTGTCTGAACCCCGTTCATCCGATAAATGGCAACGGTGGACCGGGAATGGGGGGTGCCAATGGAGGTGGAGGTGGTGGTGGTGGCAGTCGTCATTCCAGTTCTTCCGACACGCCCAAAGATCATTCCCCGGATACTTTTGGTAATTCCGGGGGTAATGGTGGTGACAATGGTGGAGGTGGAGGCGGTGGTGGTGGTGGTGGACAATCGTACGCTTTACACCAACATTCACTGCATCATCAACTTGCCAAACTGCAACAACAACACTTGTCCGCTTTACAACAACAACGTCAATCTATCGGCTCTTCAACGTCGTCACCTATACCAATACGACCTTACACTCTGGACAATCACCGTTCTCATCATCCATATCAACATCGTTCACAAGCTCCTTCCGCACAAGTTTCCGCAGCTCCTAGTCCCAGCTCGAGCGATTCAGAGGATGATGACCCCATGATACCACTCCCTCTGCCCATGTCTGCTGTTCCCGGTGACGGATTACCAGCGACATCTCCGGTGTTGAACGGTATGAGATATATGAGTTTGTTCCATGGTAACAATCACTCTCACGGTCATGGTTTTGGCCATGGGAGAAAAGGATCTACCACTGCTCCGGTTTCTGCGGCTTCAACGCCTCTTCACTCGCGAAACCCGTCCCGTGCGAGTTCTCCAGTAGAAGGACATTCGGCGAGTTTAGGAAGACCTGGACATTATATTCACCACGCGTCGAAGAGAACACATCCTTATCCTCATTACTCTACACCTTCTTCACCTCATTTCTCTCCTCTGTCGAATATGAAACATCATCATTCTCATCAATCCCATCAAGTCCACTCTTCTCATCCTGTACCAGCTCAACAACCTCACGCTTCACATCAATCTCATCAACATCAACCCTCTCAACATACGCATCAAACTCCAAGTCAAGCGTCTCATTCAACGTCGCACAGTCATACTCCCTCTAGGATGTCCCCGCCAAAACTAACGCGTACTTTATCAGGTTCTCATAAACAAACCGTCGAGGATATATTAAATTCAACAACTCTTCCTCCACCGGTGACGATATCAGGTGGAGATCGAATCTTACCTCCTCTTCATTCTGCTTATTCCTCCATACCCACCGGTAATCACTCTGCTTTTTCTACAGCACCAAATACCAATTGGTCCATCTCTCAACCTGCTTCAGCCAGAGCATCACCATCACCAAACACATCAAGAGCTAGTAGTCCTACATCTTATGGACACGGATTCAATCATCTTCCTCATCTTCATTCTAATCATATGTTCGGTCATGATCATTCCCATTCTCAACAAGGACATAAAGTGGTGGGAATAGGTGGATTACCAATGCAACATCCAGTATTGGACAAGAATTTGTTGGAGAGAGGATTAGACAAGAACGGATGGGAAAAAGGTTCAGTATTGGATAAGAATATGTGGGAGAGTAAACCTAACATACATGCGCTGAGAGGGTTGAGTCCTCCGAGACAGTTGGCACCGATAGGAATGGGAATGGGAATGGGCAAAGGAGATAGGTTGTTACCTAGTTTGAGCAGGGGGAGTAGTCCTGTTCATTTCATGGAGCTGGATGGGCAGGCGTAGGGGGGGAGGGGGGGGGGACGATGACGTGAGTCATCGTCTGCTCGGGAAGAAGGAAGGAGTATGTTCTGGAGAGTGAAACATCGTCTGCTCGGAGTATGTCGTGGAGATTGTATCATTGTCTGCTCGGGGGTGTCAAGGAGTGTGGTCTGGAGAGTGGATCATTGTCTGCTCGGAGTATGTCTTGGGGACTTAATCACCGTCTGCTCGGAGCATGTCTTTAGATGTGGGTCATCGTCTACTCGGGTGTTGTACGGAGCGTGGTCTGGAGAGTGGATCATTGTCTGCTTCGGGATCTAAGGAGTATGTCTGGAGACTGATATGGTTGGGTCGGTGGAGGGTGGGATACGAAATATCGTGATAGATCGAGAAGGGTGATGATTGAGGGTGTTGGGTTGTAGGTTGAAGTGTGGTCGGAGGTGTGCGTTGTTTGGAGATTGAGTGTCGTCTCCCAGTGTGGTGGGGATATTGGCCAGACGAGAACGCTGAGTAGTGGAGAGTGAAGAGGTGGACGATGATGCTGGATGATGGTATGATGCAAGCAGCCAGTGGTCAGAGTATCAGCAGAAGGTTCGATGGCCGATGGATAATCACACGAAATGGAGAAGGAGAATCAAAGTTGGGCTTTTTATTATCGAATAGATGGAATCTTATAGACTATTGTGTATGTCAACTGTTTTCGTTAGCCAAGTCCGTGTCGGGGTGGTCCATCGACTCGGAAGCCTTGTCCGACTTGTCATCTTTGACGCTGATATCTCTTTTGTAGATATAGGCTTTTCCATCCATCACTCCTCGTAGTGATCACAGTGCAGTACTGATCCTATTGCAGTAGAGTACTAGTATGTACTGTGAGCTACTGAGAGTACAATAGTGATACGTAGTCACTTACTGCTGTGGATTTATTGCACGGACGGGGTGTGATGGCGCTTATCAATCCATACTCTAACCAGTCGAAATGCCACGTCAATCATGTATCCAGTCATCCAGTCCCGACATTTATGAAAAGTCTATAACCGATCTCAATTCTCTCATTCCACCTTTACCTTTTCTTCGTTCCATTCGTATATATTTCTAGCTCAATCATTCACCGATCACCTCTTTCGAGGGTCAAACCAATTCTACTGTCTTCTCTGTCCGTCTGAGAAACGGCCACAACCCCACTCACCCATTCTCACCCATTCTCCCCCTACCCCATCCAGTACAAACATACGCCCCATACACTCCACTCACCTTACCCCGTTCAGTACAAACATACTCCCCTCTCACCCCATTCATTATCAACATACACTCAACTTCCCGCCCACCATTCATTACGCAAAGATAATCAAGAAAGATCTCGTCGAAATGTCAAAAACATATAAAATACACGTCCCTGCAAGTACAGCCAATATCGGACCTGGATTTGATGTTTGTGGTATTTCTTTATCCTTAGAATTACTCGTCACCGTCACTATCCCTGATACTTCTCTTATCCCTACTCTTTCCTCTACTTCCTCTTCCATTTCCCCCTCTACCTCATCACCTTCAACCATCTCCAACTCGACCAATCCATCAAGCCAGGATTATTCCTCATCACCCACGACCAATCCATCAAGCTCAAACCACTCTCCACCAACATTAACCTACACCGGATTATCATCAACAACAGTCCCTTTATCACCCTATAAAAACCTCATAACAAGAGTATCTCTCTACGTCCTTCATTCCCATCATCTAACTTTCCCACCGAATATAAAATTAAATATCCATAATTCAATCCCATTCGGTAGAGGTCTAGGTTCATCAGGTGCAGCAGTCATAGCAGGTGTTTTATTAGGTGATCTCTTAGGTAATTTAAATCTATCAATTCAAAGGAAATTAGATTACGCTTTAATGGTAGAACGTCATCCTGATAATGTTACAGCAGCTTTGATTGGTGGTTTCATAGGTAGTTATTTGAAGGAAATTAAGAGTGATGACGGAATGGATTTTAAAGAAATACCTTTGGCTGAAGTTTTACCTGAATATCCTGAAAATGTTGAGATATTAGGTGAAGATTGGGGAAAAAACGTTCCATTACCACCGAAAAATATAGGGAATTGGGTTAAATGGAATTGGTTGAAAGAAATTAAAATGGTGGTGGTCATACCGGAATTCCAAGTTGCTACTGCTAAAGCTAGAGGTGTTTTACCTGATAAATATGATAGGAAAGATGTTGTGAGTTGAACGATGGGTTTCTTCGATCCTTCTTCTTCTTCGTCTTTTCCATCTTCTTCGACTTATCCTTCTCCTTCGTCTGATCCTTCTGATCTTTGTTCTTCCAGTTTTGAAGCACAGTCTTCTTCATTTCATCATTTACTTGATGCTTGCCAAATTACCCTCACATCCTTGACCCAATTTATCAATTCGACTTTCACACTCACCGACCCAACATGAACCTGTTCAGAACTTTCCCTCTTTTGGTCAATCCCTCTTTCAATGATTTATGATACATCCAAAGAAGATGGAAAGAACGAAGAGGCGAGGGGAGAAAACCACAGATTAAAGCTCAACTGACAAACAAAGATATTCAACCTACAACGATTGGCAGTTCTCATCACCGCTTTGACAACTTTACCTCTCAATCCTGAGTTGATATATGAAGCTATGAAAGATAAATTGCATCAACCGTATAGGATGGCTTTGGTTAGTTGGTTTTTCTTCCTCTTTTTCTTATTTCCAGTCCTACCCATGACAAACTTTTCCCATCTCACTATCGATTCAAACTAGGACTGTTAGTTAAAGTATCTCTCGTACCCTTATTAGCCACCATTATCCGAATTCACAACCTCACACCCTCACACCCTCGTCCCCTCACTCGTGTATTCGTCGATCAAAACTTGACACTCGATCAGTGCACTCCCTTCTCCTGACTACTTCCGGTCAGACCTCAAAACTCCATCATCCCATTTTCTCCCTCCCTTACAGTCCCCGTCACCGCACCACATTTTTGCCCCTTTGCCCCACCCCCACCTCCGCTGCAGAACTCATCATACCCCCCGTCTCTTGCCACATGAACGTTTCAGTCCACGTCATAGACCCTAGCCCCCACATCGATCTCTCTATACATCCCATTTTTTCCCCATCGAGTATGACCCACCCCACTGAGTATGACCCACCCCACTAACTACCCAGATCCCAGGTCTCACCGAAATCCTCACCTCTCTATCACCCACCACCCACCCCGGTCTCCTCGGAATATGTCTCTCAGGCGCAGGACCGACCATCTTAGCTCTCGCCACACACAACTTCGACCTCATAGCGGAAAGTATCAAGGAGGTGTTTAAGAAAGAAGGTGTCAAGGCTGATCATGAGGTTTTGACTGTTGATACGAGGGGAAGTTGGGTTGAGGAGGTAGAGTAAGGGGTTTTGGTCGAGACTGGGCCTGTTGGATCGTCCGATTTAATTGTCATGAGGAGAGGGTGAAAACGTGGGTGGGAAGAGGTGGGGTCATGGTAAGTCAGGGTTTCCGAGTTGCGAAGATATAATCTTACCTGGGATGGGATGTTGGGTTCGTTTTTGGGAAGTCAACAACAATACTTTGACCATCCGACTTTGAGGTTTGGTGTGATAATGAGGCCAGCCGTATGATGCGACGTCGAAGAAGAAAGTTCCATATTAATCACTTATAGATTTTTAAAAAAGGATGTAGATCATGCATATATCACAATCACTCGTACGATCACAATCACAATCACAATACGTACATATTCTCCTCCATTCCATCTACCATTCCTCCACTGCAATTCGAAAGCTTCATAGATGAACAACAATAAATCTAACACTCTGATTCCTTGACCATCTTCCCCACTAGTACACTTCAAAAATACCCATCCTCTAAAATCGTACTATACCCGCAAGTGAGGGTTCCCTCAACCAAATTGGTCTCTCGTCATTTCGTCTTTCTCCTCGTAGGTTCATGTTACAAGTTACAAGTTGCTAGTTGTAAGTTACAAGTTACCCCTTCATCAATCGTCAACCATAACCAATTTCGTATTCCCCACTTATGACCCCATCATCCCTTCAACCAACAACCATAAACCATCAACCATCAACCATTCCAACACCTAAACACAAAAAAAGACGATCAAATCTCTTTTATCGAGTTATCGATCAATGAAAAATATAATACCTCTTATAAAACGTTCATGATCATTGAATTGAACAAATACTTTCTTCAGGTAACTTGACACCATCAGGTTTAGTCTTTTGTGGTAAGATATTAACCATCCTAGCGTGTAAAGGTACTAAAACGCCACCTGGGAAAGAAGTACCAGGTGGGAAAAAACCACCGTATTTTAATACTGTCATTTTGGGTAGGGCGGCTCCTAGTGGTAGTATACTATTTGATCAGTTTTGTCTTCCTTGTTCTTCTCTTTTCTCTTTTCCCTCTTTTCCCCTGTTCCCCTGTTCCCCTTCTGCCTTTCCCTTTTTTTTCTTTTTCCTCTCTCATTCTCTTTCTCTCTTTTTCCCTTTTTCCCTTTGCCCCTATTCCTCTGTTTGCTATTTCATTCATTTAATGATCAGAAAGTATCTCTGATTCATTGGGTGATTCGTGTTTCATCACGTGTGGACATGTCATAGAATAGAGAATGATAGGTTCTTTTTCTTGGTAATGTCTGTAGAGTAACATGAAGCAGCTCGTGAGATGGTGGGGTTTTTGGGGGTCGTGGGGATCGTCCAAGCACCTGATAAGAAATATCATGTGAAAAGTCTGGATAAATCCATCTCCCATCCAATACATATTTCTTCCCACCCGTATGTTCTCTTGTCAAGATTTCGTTCAAAGAGAAATGTCGGTGGGTATGTGAGAATATAGATTACGATAAAGATATCAAGATATGAAGATATGAAGATATGAAGATATGAAGAAAAAGCAAAAGAAAACAAGACGAATCAACTCACGTTCCGGCCGGTGCATAATATCCATCTTTCTCTTTACCAGCTTTTGTGACATTCATCAAACATGCGTCGTCGTCCTTTGCATCAGTTCAAACTTCATTATTTGTTCCTTCTTCATCTCTTCATCTCTTCATGAGCGACAATGAAGACATTGAGGGTTTCAGATACTACGCCGTTTCAATCTCCACTTGGAAAATTGATCGTACATGTCGTCCGAGTATTTCGTTAGGTGCCAGGTGGCGCAGGACGTTTGGGGTGGGGTCATGATTGATGATGATATACGAAGAGGGAGAGTGGACAGCAAACTGAGCGTTGAAGATGATATACGAAGAGAGAGATTAAACAGTGAAGTGAGGGTTAAAGATGATATACGAAGAGAGAGAGAATAGAAAGCGAGGTGAGGGTTAAAGATGATGGATTCAAGAGGGAGAGCGAACAGCGAAGTGCGGGTTCGTGATGCAATACGAAGAGAACGAATAGGTAGGGAGGTGAAGGTTAAAGATGATCCATTCAAGAGGGAGAGCGAACAGCGAAGTGAAAGTTCATGATGATATACGCAGTAAGAGAACGACCAACGAAATGACAGTCCATGAATTACCCAGGGAATAAAAGAAAGATACAAGGGGGGGAAGTGAGGAAGAAAATCACTTACAAATTCAATAACAGCCCATTGAGGTCCCCATTGATCATCCTTGAAAAAATTAGCGGCCAAATCAGCAGGGTTAACCTCTGCTTCTTCAGTCGTAGGATCTACCTTCAACTTCTTTTCGTATTTCTCTTTTCTATCCGCTTTAGCTTTTTCTTCCGCTTTCTTCCTAGCTTCTGGGTCGTCTCTCGAAGACATTTCTGCGTATTAATCAAATAAATGGATGTATGTGTTGATTAGGGATTGGTGAATGTATGTGTTGATTAGGGATTGGTGAATGTATGTGTTGATTATGTATTGGTGGATGATGTTTTGTAGGTTTGGTAATTCGATTTTGGATACGAGATTTGATTGAGAGAGGTTCTTGAGGTTTTTAGAAGGTATTTCCTATGAGGAAGAATTATGTGGCAAAAGGGTGAACTTCGGTGGTGATGCGAAATACAACCAAGTCGATTGGAGGAGTTCGTGATGGTACTGTGATGGTACTGTGATGGGGTATACGAGCCTCTCGATAATTGATTGGAGTGGTCGTAGGAGGTTTTGGGGAGTTACTCTTCGGGGATGGAGTTGGGGGTGGATTGGAGGAAGACAGGAATCAACAAGGGGGGAAAGTTGAGGGATGTGAATGTAGGTGAATACTAGTGGATATGAAGAGGGCTGGAGGGCTTGATTGAAGATCGAGTCGAGATTGGTGATACGGGAAAGTACCACTGTACGGCTTCGGATGTCAAGTAAGTGGGAAATAGGTGGAACAGGTGAAAGATATCGATCAGACCAGCTATTGTCAAGTCAGAAAGCTATAAGAAATGTTTATCAGTTCGAACTAGTCGTCGATATCACAATACGTCAAGTATTACAATCAACAAAGAAGCTGCACCATGAGCGAGTCATTTATGAGAAGAATACACAAAGGGTCAGAATTCCAAACGTTCCTTTCATCCCTCTTTCACTGCGTTGATTCCAGTATGGACGTCAAAGGAAGTTGAGGAATCGAAAATTCGACGTCACTTTGAGTGTGGTCGTGTCAGACAGTGCACGGGAAGATCAACGGGGATGAGCACTTGTCACGAAACCCTTCCACAAACGTCATCGAGGACTTTGAGCGGTTGCCAAGAGACTACTCTGTGTTTTGGACAGTGAAAAAGGTCAGAGAGTCAATCGTCAAATCGCAGTCAGGAATACCACAGATGCACCCACTACTATAACTTCTGACTCCGCCCTAAGCTGTTTGTGCAGGTTGGATCAATGTGATATTATCCCCTTTCAGTAGGATCCGACCTGCTCATCAGCCCAATTTCGGATATTGACAAGTCCTCCCTCGATGACATTCCGTCCTGAGTGAACCGCCAATCGGCATACCGACGAGTCTCCTTTTGATCATGCCAACCAAGCCTCATGAATCAATTTCCCTTTGCCAGGAGAATAATTATCCTGCCATGCAAGTGACCGGATATTGGCCTTCTTAAACGAGCAAAAATGTGGAGAGGAGGGGGGTAGGATCCCCAGCAAATTCCAATCGCCAGAACGGGGCACAATGATTGATCAAGATGGAAGAGTTGACGCAAGCCACTCACCTAACTCCCTCCGTGGTTTCACAGGCTTGCCGGGTTTCGCAGCGCAATCATACACTTCCTCCGCTTCATCCAACACGAGATTCATGAACTCGTCGAAGCCCTGGTGGTCGTAACGTTTTCATCGCGCAAGGGTTGGTGGTTGTATTGCCAAATATTTCAGTAGACGATATAACGAACCATGAGTTGAGAGTTTGTTCAATCCAGTCCGTGGAGGGGAACATGAAGGCGTAACGTGGATGAAGTATCGGGGGTTCCAGAGAAGTCAAAAGTTCAATTGAAGGGTTGAGAGGGAGACATAGATCACAAAGCAAAAACGAGTAGTGTTAGTGACATGTTCACAGACGGTTGAAGATGAACAACTTACAACGATAAATGCCTCTATACGGAATTCATTACTGTCATAAAGCCATATTGTGATCCGAGTATGCTGCTGTGTCAGACTGTGATCTCTTGACTCAACGCCTTCACTCGCAACTATACGAGTGGAATTTTGGAGTTGAGTGAGATACGTCGGCGTGTCGGTGAGAAGACAGAACAGTGAGACGAACCTTTTGTAGATGACTGAATATGACGTTGATGGGCTGTAAACGTCAGCTTGAAGATGTCTTGACAGTGATGAGCTCACTTGAACTGCGACTTTTCTACCACCCATTATGTCGGAATACCTGAACGAACGCCCGCTAAGTATGTACTCGTACCTTGACTACAGTCTCGTAGATTACCGACGGCAGTTCCGAGTTGTGATGTATAGACGAGGTGGTACAAGTCTGGTAGAAAAGAAAAGAAGAGAGTAGAGTAGACAGTCGAGAAGGGGAGGAGTGGGAGGAGGAAATCTTGGTGGTAAACTTGAATGACGTGGCATATCCCTTCAATCACTGATAAGCACCTTGCCCCCCCCCCTTCGTTTCTCACCTATCAACTTGACACCTCGTCCATCCTACCCTCGCCTCTCTCTCTACACCTATAACATGTCACTATCACAATCAACTTCAATAGTCCTCGCTGCTTTACAAGCTCTCTATCATGACCCCGACGCCGCTGCAAAGAAAAAGGCCAATGAATGGTTGCAAGAGTTCCAACACAGCGTGAGTCCTTCAGAAGCGTATTCCTCGCCTCGTGGTTTGCTCTGGAGCTTTGGAGATCGAACCAGTCACATCGGATAGAATGCTGATAGAGCAGGTGGAAGCTTGGCAGACTTGTCATGATCTATTGACTTCCCCAGAGACCAGCTTGGAGGGAAGATTGTTCTCCGCGCAGACGTTACGAGCAAAGGTCGGTCTTTCATTGTGCTCGTCCCTTCCCTTGTTCACGCTCCTTGGGTCAACGTCTCGGCGCTACATCACTGTTTCCACCTCCCCCTCTACCTCAATCTGCTGTCACTTACTGCTGAACCCTGTCCTCACGCGTCTGCAAATGACCGTCGAAATGCTACAAAGCGCTCCACCCAGCGTTAGAAGTATCACGGGCTCACAAAACCATTAATGAACGGAGCTCACCACCTAGATAGTATATGACCTCTCTCAACTCCCTCGAATCCAACTGGTACCACTGCGTGACTCTATCCTGACCTCCCTACCCGCCCTCACATCACCCTCCGCTCCTCAAGGATCCCGAGCCGTTGTTCTGCAATTATGTCTCGCTCTCGCCGATTTAGCCATCCAAATGCCCGAATGGCAAGATCCGGCCAGACAAATGATCGAAAATTATGGAAAGGATCCAGGGACGGTGGGAGTTTTACTTGGATTTTTAAAGTCTTTAGTGGAAGAGGCAGGGAATGGCAAGATTCCACTGGTCAGTCCTTCCTCCTATCACTCCGGCGCCACCATCCCACCAGAAGTCGGTACCATCAATCACTGACTCGGCAGAACGAAGACGGCAAAGATCATTTAGCCAACCTCATGTCAACTTCCGCCAAGCAAGTTCTTGACGTTTTAGTCATGTACATTCAAGCTCCAGGTCAGTTGTCGCCTTGTTGATGTGTCTCAGCTAACTCCAAGGCCTCACTCCCCAGATCCAATCAACTATTTTTGACACACTTCGTTCCTGGGTCGTCGGCGGAGAATTACCCGCATTCGAAGTCGCCACTACCCCTCTGTTCCCAGCAACCTTTGAAGCTCTCGCCTCTGATCAATTATTTGACTCCGCCGTAGACGTCCTATGTGACCTCATCAACGAGACCCAAGAAATACAAGACAATGTAGAAGTCATACAACAAATTATCCCTCGACTTATCGCCCTCGGACCTCAGCTAGACATACATCAAGAAGATGGAGATCGGATAAGAGGTTATTGTCGGATATTTTGTGAAGCTGGGGAATGCTACAAAGATCTCATTGCCAAACATCCCTCAGACCTTCTCCCTCTTGTCCAAGCCATCTCGAAATGTGCCGCCTACCCCGATCTCGACATCGTCCCTATCACTTTTCAATTCTGGTATCAACTCGCCACCACTCTCGGCCGACAACCAACCGACCCAGCTCTTCAACCCATCCTCGACATCTACTCTGAATTACAAAAAATCATCATCCGTCATTTATCATTTCCTTCGGACGATGAAGGTCAAACATCTCAAGAAAAAGAAGAATTCCGATATTTTAGACATCGAATGGGTGATACACTCAAAGATTGTTGTCATTTACTCGGTGCACCTACTTGTCTACGTGTTTCCCTAAACCTGGTCCTTTCCGCCCTTTCCTCACCTTCACCCCAATGGCAAGAAATCGAGGCTCCATTATTCAGCATGAGGTCAATGGGCGCAGAGGTTGATCCGGATGATGACGAAGTTTTACCTCACATCATGGAGCTACTTCCTCGTTTACCTGATCATCCAAGGATACGTTACGCAGCCATTCTCGTCTTGTCAAGATATACACAATGGATAGATCGACATCCTCAAAACCTCGAATTTCAACTACAATACATTTCTTCGGGTTTCCAAATGCCCGAAGATGAGGTTCAAGCAGCTGCGGCTCAAGCGATGAAATTTATGTGTCAGGATTGTGGTAGTCATCTGGTCCCGTTCTTACCACAGTTACACGACTTTGTCACTCAGATGAGAGATAGATTAGATCAGGCGGATATGTTAGAGGTCTGCGAGGCTATCGGTCATGTCATCGAAAGAATGGAACCTGAACAAGCTGCGGGGGTACTCCAACAATTTTGTCAACCTTTATTGGCCAGAGTTCAAGTCGTGGCAATGACCACGGAATCTGTTGGTAAACCAGAATTGACGAAAGCCGCAGGTACGTTTTTCCCACTCTCTCACACACATCATTCTCCTCCAACCATTCTCGTCTCAATACCCCCACTTCCCCGAGTGGTCCTTCTCTCTTCCTTTCATGGATTTTGCTGATGGCATGACAGACGCTTTAGAACAAATCGACGCTTTTCTCAACGTAGTAGGAACCCTTACACCTCTCCCACAATCTTGTTTATCCACGCCCACGGCAGTCTATGCAGTTTTAGACGCCCTTCTCGCCCGACACGCCCAAATCTATTATATTTCCGAAAGAACAGGTTACGTATTACGACGAGGCCTTACTTTTTTCCCGACCACCGCCCTCGAACCTGTCCTTCAACCAATGTTGGAACGTATGACGTTGGCTTTTGAACAAAGTGGTTATCCTAGTTACGTATGGATCGTGGGAAAATCAGCTGCGAAATTCGCAAATGCTGCTAGGGGATCTTCACCTCATGCTTTGGGCGTGGCTGATTTGTTGGGTGGTGCCTTGGAAAGGGTGACTTTGCAAGTGGGAAAAATGTTGACTAGTAAGACGGCTGTTGAGATACCTGATGGTGAGTCTGGCTTCTACCTTCTTTTGGGTTTGTCACACCGCCTCCGATTCGTACTCTTCTTCAACACGTCTTGTATGAATCTTTCCGCTCCCTAGGCTTGCGTGGCGGCCTTGTGAATTTTGTGAATCGTTTGACCCTCTTGCCGTCCCTCCCCTGTATCATCACCTTACTTTGTGACTCGATTCTGAAACTCTACGTGCCACAATACACGTGACGTCTTTCATGTTTCGCAGTCATCATCGCAAAGTAGACTGTGCATATCCTATAGAACCAAGATTTCGAGAAGAAACTAAGACTAACAAATAGTGATCGAAGATTATCTTCACTGTTTCTTATCTTATCTCAATTTTCTCCCCCCACTCACACTTTCTTCTCCCATTTTACATCTATCCCTCTCTCATACCCTCTCAGCACTCACATGTCCATCAACACCAATAATAAGCGTAGCTCTAGACGTCCTTTCTATCTTATCTGAAAATCAACATGAACCACAACTCCCTCCTATTTTCAGACAATACGGCAAAGCTCTTCTCGGTTTATGTCTTACAGGATTATTACAGGACTTTCCGGAAGGTAGTACCAATGCCGTTCAGAGCGTCGTTAATGCTGTTTGTGCGGCGTCGGAGAATGCAGAGGTGGAAAGTTGGGCTACTGAAGCGGTGGGTGGTGTGGCGGGTTGGATGTTACCTTTGAGTGATAAAGAGGTGTTTTTGAGGGATTTACATGAGTGAGTTTGAGTGTTTCATCTGATTTCCCCTTGTTCATCCTCCCTCTCATTCATCTTCCTGTATTTCTTTTCGTTCTTCGGCCTGTCCTTCCTTCTGTACATCTCCGACGTTTGATGTTGTTGAATGACCTCTGCGTTCACTTCCCCCTGTCTTTGTCTCTCTGGAGGAACTGGTGTCACCTTGTAACCAAGGGTCTTGTCGCTCTACCTGCATGACGTTACTCTCTTATATCCATCCATACGGTATACCTCGAAATGTGTTTAATCTTCGTGGAGTGAGAGCTCGCAACTCAGATACTGACCCTTAGGTATCTACTCCAAGGTAAAACAGGTGACAAGCTCAAAAACGCCATTGTCCAAATGCTTCGCGCTTCTAGAAGAGCAAAAGAGAGAGGACGTCAAGCTAGAAAGTCGTTAGGCGGATGATGGATTTGCTTTCTTCCTCTCACCCGGGTTCCTCTTTTAATGGGGACAATCATCTCCCCCGAACCAGGGTGCGTTTTCATACATGAGAGGGAGATGGGACGTAGATTTTCATTTCGTAGTGTAAGGTCATACATGAGAGGGAGTTGTGGGGACTACAACAAATTCATCTCATCGTGGGTGAGTTTTATTCATGATGGAAAGTTGGGAAGACTATCTTCATCTTATGGTGATGAGGTTGATCTATGATGGGAAAGTTGGAATGTGAACTGGTTGGATATCTAAGACGGGGGCGTTGGTTGATAGGGAGGACACGGAAAGAGTTGGGACACGGTTGATAGATTACGGATAATACGAGATAAGGGAGTAATGAACGTGTTGATGTTAATGGGATGAAGGATGTTATCGCAATCTGTGGTTGGAAGATGTTTATGAAGGATGTTATTGCAATGTTTGGTTGGGAAGACAATGTCATGAAGAGACATGGAGCTAAAGGGTAGGAAAGAATCACGGATGATACATGGTAAGATGAAGGATATGACGATCGGAAGGGTATACATGACAATATGGCATAGAAAGTTCAAAGAGAGAGATGAGAGAGAGAGAGAGATGAGAAGGAGTCTTGAATTAATTTTTATGTGCATTATGCATTGTCAATCACATCCATCTTTTTTCTAAACATAACTCTTCACATCAACACAATCCTCTACATTCCTAAATGATGAGCAATTTGTGGTTGTCATAGACAATATGTAGTTGAGAGTTGAGAGATTTGAAGAAAGATGGAAGATCAGTACTTATGTTTGTTTTCGCTTATAATTAGATGATAACACAGAGGGGAAAAAGAGCATGCATCAATTCTACATGTCTCTATACTTATCACATTCCACTCACACGCAGTAAACCAGGGACGATCGAATAAAGTTCAGAGGATAAGTTGAACGGGGAAATATTCGACGGAAGGGGTAATCCAAACGGTGGTTTGGCCGTCCTGGCCCGATTCTATCGGCTAACAATGTTGTACTGTAAAATTATATCATCATTGGAAAGATTAGACACAGGTGGAATTGATGCATGCTCTTCTTTCCCTCTGCATTGTCACTGATATTCTTTAACACGTAGGACTCTGTCTCTGGCTGTGTCCCTAACAAGTCCCAGTTTTTGCACATCTTGATGATTTTATCAATCTCTGTGACTGTTACTGTACATACTGAACTTAGGGAGAAGTTAGATAAGTAACAACCTCCTCTTATTGGAGGACAAAGTTGACCTTTTATAAGTGCAGTATATATCTGTCATCAAAGCTGGGTTGAAATCCAAAATGTGCTGTCCACACATGACTTACCATCATGTACGTAGTTGCATGCTTCCTTCCGAAAACGCACGGATTCCATCGTCGTGAATATCGTCCGATTGAGATAATACAGCGACCGAGATAGTGGTTTTCCTAGTTTATTTGGTATACTTATCATATTCCACTCATACACAGCAAACCAGAGACAATCAAATCAAGTTCAGAGGATAAGTTGAACAAAGGGAAAATTGAAGGAAGGGGTAATAATTCTATTTGCGGTTCGGCCGTCGCAGGCGGAATCTATCGGCTAACAAGATCGGAACCACTTGAGGATACGGGTCATCAAACAAATATGCCAACGTTTAAAGTGGAAAACAAGGTCCCCCCCTTAGAAGTTTGTGAAACTTAAGGTGTGATTCCCACTCCACAACCACGTCAATGTCGATAGGAGAGTGTCCTTCAAGTTGTGGAGCGGCCCGCTCCAATGGTGGAGCGTAAGGTACGTCATTGAGCCCGAATTTGGAAATCCTGGAAAAACACAGCACTTCTCCTTTCTCCCCCTTTATCTTCTTTCAACCTTGATACTTCAAACAAAACACCCATATATCAGAACATTGAATCAATATCACTTACTGTACCTTTTCTCACTTTACCAATCTACATATCAATAACATATAGAAGGAGATCATAAGGATATTATCATGTCTCAATCATATAACCTATCAAGTGAAATTCCTGATTACCCGATTAATTACTCCAATGTGGTACTGCGACTTCAATTACGATATCTATTCAGTATGGAATCATTTGAGAATCATGATAGAAATACTAGTCTTCTACCCACACGTCATTTCAGGGTTAATATTCATCCAGAATTTTTGAGAACAGCAGAGACAATCATAACCACTGAGAATCATCAGAAATATACGTGTCCAAAGATAACCAAAGTCTCATTACATTACCCACGTGGATCAAAGCTACCTGATACCTGGGAATTGTTTCTTCAAGAAACCTCGGGAGAAACTACCCAACTCTCTTTCCGAAACGCATTGGAAGCCAGCTGGGACGCAAACATGTTTCATGAACGTATGAAGCCTGAACACCGACTGGAAGAGTCAATTTTAGAAATTGAACCTACTTGGTCAGGGGTCAATCAGTCAGCTGAAGGCGAGTTTCGGCGTTTCGATTTTTGCCTCCCATCTCAAGTTTTATATTTCCTAGTAACTTTTTAGTGTTTGTGGCACATCAGAAGGCGTTGGAGCTGTGAAATGAGGTTGGATTGATGGAAAAAGTAAGGAATCATGCATGACGTGACAGGCAATCGATCATTTGTCTTTCCTCAATCTGTCATTGACACCCTTCTTCAGGTACACGCCAATTACTTAGATGTCATGACCAGATACTGTGGATAGTCTGCTTCAATGAGCTATGGGCTATGCGGCCTCATAGTGAACATATATAGTGATGTAGTGAATTAAAGAGACTATATGTCAATGTGATCAAGCGGCAATAGATGTGCTAAGTGATGAGAAGATACTATACCAATATGGAACGGAGAATACCCGTGATGGGAACGATTCGATGAAAGTACGACTCTGAGGAACATGTTTGGACAATAATCGATAATCGACAGTTGGAAGGACATACTATATAATTTTCACTGGTATAGGGGCCCAATGGCTTGGTCATGTAGCTGACCTAGCTAATAAACCTTTTTGGGGGGGCCGATTGAATGAGGAAACTGGCTCGTAAAATGACATGTCTGGTCCGTGCGGACAATTCCGTACAGAACCCCCGTGCATTTTGACACCGTCAATGTATGCGTTCCAAACAAAACTACCGGTGAGATTGATCTCGCTCGATATGGAAGACGCCAAATCTGTCCAAGAGAGGAGAAGACAGATTGGGGAATATCACTCCATTGACAAGGATCAAATGAGGAATAATTGTGGGAAATGGATTATCAATCAAATTCCCAGGTGGAAGACCATGGAAGGATAGAACCTCATCATAGCCACTTATACTCTACACAGCCTGGAATTATAGTGGGAAATACTTTTTGACAGGGATGGATGACGGACATATCACTTACGACCCCATCCAACTCTCCTGAACCATCTGTTCCCCTTCCACGTCTGTTATCACATTCACAATCACCTCTTTCTCCCTTCTGACACTTCCGATGTTTATCATTAGACGTACCTTCCCTGCTGCCTGCCTGAATTGTTCAGCGAATTCTGCTCCTATCTCCTCACCCACCTAGTTACCCTATGTTGCTGAATCCCAGGTTCCCACTCCACACTATCTATCTTCCCCTCCCTACTGAGTAAATGTGGATTCTCAATCTGCCTTTTCCCCCACATTCTCCCACAGCTTCAAAGGGCCCACACAGCCTCATTACCATACTTATTTGTTCAATTTGTCAGACTCGGATCATATACGTACCGTAACCATCCTACTTACCACTTTCAAATGCCCGTCGGGTTATAGTTCGGAAGCCGGGGTCATTTATATCCACGAGTGGTATTTCCGGTTCGGGTTCCTACTTGGATGACTGATCCACGGTCTAGACCCCCTCGGGCATCGCCTTCCATCCAATCCCACTCCCCTAGATCAGCCTACCAATCACCCTTACAAATAGGAAGTCCCCTCCCTCACATTCTCTTCAACATCCCGTCTGATTCGTGTTTGTTCATCTGTCTAACCACACTGACTCAACTTGAGATATAACTCAGTAAGCAATCATCCATCACAACCTTCACGCCTCTACCAAAATGACTTCCGTGCCTTCCACAAGCAGCATAACCAACACTGCCTCAACCCCAACTCCCTCCACCATTGATCCAAAGGCTGCAGAACAAATGGTAACATTGTTCAGAAGTGTTGCTTCTCACTGGACTGAACAGCTCGCTCAGGTTCTGATTAGGGATGAAGACCACAAGGAACAATATAAGAAAGACCTTATGGCGGGTCTCGATCTTGTCACTTTTGGTAATTCCGTCTATGAAACTCTCCACGGGACATCACATCCTTACCTATGGAATGTCAATGCTGTCCGCGCCATTGAACCCGCTGTCGTCAACTATCAGGTATCACAAGCTGAACAGAACCCTTCCAACATGCTGGTGAAGGGTTTACCACAGAGCGATCATTCAACACAGTGGTCCGAGTCAGCTGAAGCTGTGTCTGGGGAGTCAATTGCGTCGTACAATAATGAATGAAAGAGAGTGATAGATATCATGAATGAATGTCACGAACTATGCCGTGACACCTCAATCATCCCACCAGCAATGACCCTCCTTTGACCATCAAAACCCCTATCACGTCTTAACCTCTTCACTCTACACATAACTCAGGACATCTGAGACCAACTACGGCGGAGTACAGCTGGAGAGTAAGGTATACCGGGGTCTGGAGCATGAGGGCGGCGAAGTGCGGCGAAGTTAGACGAACTTAGGCTAAGTAGGGACAATGGGAGCAGAAGTACGGCAAAGTTAGACGAAGTTAGGCTAAGTAGGGACAATGAGAGCAGAAGTGCGGCGATGTTTGGCGGAGTTAGTCGAAGGAGGAGAAGGATGGCCGGGGACTCGGGGAAGTTGGACGAAGTGTGCTGAAGTACGTCAAAGCGCAAGAGGGTTGGGTGAACGTCGAGGAGGAGTAGATAATATCAGCTGAGAAGACTGCTGAAGTTCTTCAGTGATCCTTGATTGTTGTCAGTAGTGATAGATTGATAGAGATAGCTACATACAAATCAAGCCTCATCACCATCAGTTGTTAGCTGATAGAATCGGGCCAGGACGACCGAACCGCCGTTAGATAATTACCCGGTCCGTCAAATATTTCTCTGTTCAACTTATCCTCTGAACTCTATTTGATCATCTCTGGTTTACTGCGTGTGAGTGGAATGTGATAAGTATAGAGACATGTAAAATTGATGCATGCTCTTTTCCCCCTCTGTATTATCATCTAATTATCAGCAAACAAGATAGTCATTCACAGGAAATCACAGGACATGTGAGTGAAATCCACCGTGAGGTTGAGATGTCAAATCGAGTTATAGGCATGCATTGGACTGGCTGACTGTCGTATTTCAATCCCTGATGGAGACATGGGGAATCAGAAGCTCGATCTCAAGTCTACATCCGAGTCGAGACTGAAAAAGGTATGTAACCTCCTATGTTTGTTTGTCACTACCCGTGATTCCGGCTTTACTGTAGACTCATCTTTCCAAGGGCACTAGCCTCATGTAAGAGTTTCTCACGGTCATACGTAAAGAAGTCATTCTACCGAACCCCGAACTCCGAGACATCCCGAAATTGCCCGTCTGAGACATTGTCCATGTTGATCCGTCCATCCGTCCATCCTTCCATCAAGAAGGACAGATGTACACCAGGGCGTCTACACTTACGGCTAAAGAACCCGTGGACTTTTTCCCACTCTGAACATGTTTTCTTATTGGAACGAAAATCAGACGATACTTCCTCAAGTATCTACACCCCCCTAAGCCAATTTTCGCACGAGACCACAACGTCATCTGTTGATTATTTTCTCAAAATCCAGACAAAATGTGTTGTGTTGCTTTCCTCGAGGAAAATGAAGAAAAAAAAACGAGGTTTCTCGTTAGTCCATGATGGTCTATAAGTCGTTTCCTGGGTGACAAGGGCGATAAGAAGTGTGGAAATGATTATCCTGAACTTTCCCGCTTTTCACAGGTATGTTATATTCCCTTACTGTGGTTTGATTTCTTAACCCTTGCTTTTGTCTTCCTTCCTCCGATTTCCGATTTCCGTCTCCCGACTTCCGACACTTTGATCTGGAGCTTCCGTCTTGACCCGTTTGTCGATATATAGAAAAGAAGATATATGCCCACTTTTATCGTCGCTTGTCTTCATAACTTTTCACAAATCGACGTATTCCGTTCCACAGATTACTCTGGTCTCTTACCTTGAACATCTACCTATCGTAAATTGGTGCGAACACATTCCACTCTATCATCTTTCCTAAACTGGTTCATTTACGTATCGTCCCTCGTAACCTTGCCTTTCGATCACCTTTATCGGATTCAATCCCCCACTTTGACAACCCCCGAAATCACCTGTATCCAAGTGACCATGACACAACCTCCGAATCCTACTTCCGATCCTGGACTATCAAACAAGAAGCTCACCATATGTATAACCGGTGTGAATGGTTTGGTAGGGAAAGCATTAGTACAACTCGCTTTGAAAGAAGGACATGATGTTTTGGCATTGGACATTCATTCCACTCCCTCCTGTCTTCCTTGTGGCCCAAGTCAACAGAATTCTGATGATATCTATCCGTCTCCAAAGTCATCGCCTACTCTTCAATGTATGATGGATATAGATCAATTACAGGACTCTCCTGATAATCTCTCACCAGTCGACAACAAAGTTGACTTTCTATCTTCTCGCACGACTCCCTATAAGATCCAAGAACATTATGATCACTCGGCCACCTGTGATACCTGTGATGTTCCTCTCTCTAGACCTACCATATATCCATCTTACCCCAGTCCATCCAGCTCGGTCGATGATATCTACCCTTCTCCCAGTTCGAAACTTCTGCAACTACACTCGACTTCCCCTGAATCACCTAGGGCGTCGATTTCGGTTGTTCCGGGCGCAAAATGGGCGTATAAACGTGTTGATTGTACCGACTTTTACTCGTTTAAACAGGCGGTACAGGAAACCAGATGTGATGCTTTGGTACATCTAGCTGTCTGTGCGAACATTCGTGATGGAGAAGGGAACATATTGGATGATACGCCTGAATGGGTGAGTATCTCTGAACTGCTCTGTACACGATGGTCCACGATTGGCCCGTTGAGTTGTGAATCTCCGTGCGATCATTTCTTCTTTCCGATCATTTCTCCTTACCGGCGGGTGATTTTTGGTGAAGAGGAAAACCAGACACTGATCTCCAGCAAGTGCATAATAGTAATGTTGCCATGTCATATAATGCCTTGTCAATAGCTGCCGACCTTGGAATCGAAAGGGTAGTTTTGGCTTCTTCGGTCAATTCGATAGGTATGCGTGAGTGTCTGTTTAAATTTCTTTTACCTCGTTTCTTTTCACCCATCCTCTTCTCCGTATAATTCCTCATAAGATTTCTACGTTCATATTACCCCCTGATGATTCTGTCAACACCGATGCACGACGTTTGGACCTACTTTCATCTGTTGCGCACGGATTATCAACGTCGTCCCTCACATTCAAATCGCCGTGTTTGATAACCTCACGTGAAGCCCCTTTACAATGATATCAACAACCAGAACGGGTTCTGAGATGACGAGATTAAAGTTGACTATCAGTCATGTCCAAACGACCCAAATTCGATTATTTGCCTTTAGATGAAAATCATCCTTTTTACCCCGAAGATGCATATTCCCTCGCAAAACAGTATGTTCATCATCTCTTCATCATCCCCCTAAATATCAACTGATCCAACAGTATCGCCGAAATTCAATCAGACGCTTTCGCTCGTCGACATCCTCGAATGAGAATAGCAACACTACGTTTCCATGCTGTCTTACCGGATTTCCTCTGTTCACCAGGTAGATTCCCCGGAGGAACATGGAAAGATCTTTGGGGATGGGTATCACTTTCTTCCACTGCAAAAGCTTGTTTGTTAAGTCTTATCACTCCTGAAGAGAGGTTTCCAAGAGGTCACGAAACGTTCTTTATCGTTGCTTCCACAACACAAGAAGAAGTTGATACGGTTGAATTGATCGAGATGAAGTATCCCGAGTTAATCCCTTGGGTCAGAGGGGGTGGTTGGAAGGGACGTCAAGGATTGTTTACTTGTGAGAAAGCTAAGAGGTTATTAGGATGGGAAGAAGAGTTAGATGGGATCTCTCCTAATGTATGCTGGATTGAGAGTAATAAATTGGATGGTAATGTTGTTTCATATATTGGAAGCAATAGTACAATCCAAGCTTGATTAGTTTGTGTAAGTCAAGAATGATATGTGTATCTTTAAGAAACAATATACTTGTATTCTTCTTTTGACAAGTTCTCGTCTTTCTAGCTAGATCATGTATGATTTCGGTGATTCCGAGTCTTGACGGATCCCTTACAAGTCTAAAAGACGAATAACGTACATATCGCGTGTGGCAATCTCGGATATGTCCGTCTTATCTCAATTGGACATCTCCGAACTTCTTTTTTTTCTTATCTAATCCTTCCTGCCGTGTCATGATCAAGATCACGCTTATATCATAACGACACCACTTCCTGATCTTTTTACTTTCTCATACTTTTCCTTCATACCACACACATTCAACGTCAAGTTTTGAACCATCACCATTAGATAAAATTGACCAAAGATGTCCCGTGAGATAATCAGCAGTGCCGAATTCCCCATCAAATCATTCAACAGTACGTCAATTCCTCTTTCCACCTTTTTGATGATGAAATGAACGATTGTGACTTTGATATACCTTAAGATATGTGTTTTTGAGATTAACTGACCGCAGGTCCGGCTGTTAAGATCCCAGGGTTGTTATTTTGTGGAGGTCAAATAGGTAAAGGTGATATCAAAGATGCTACCGTGAGTTTTCTCCTCTTTCGCTTCCCTGTTCCTCTCTTGATCTTACCCACATTCCTTCGATTGCATATTTCTCCACCAAATCATATATCTCTACTTCCACAACTTGTTTCTCCATGTCGAATCTCCCTCTCCAAGTCCAAGAGAGCCATCTGATTCACATTCCGTCATCCCAGACATTTTCCGGCTTGTCTTCCCCTATTTGAGTAGAAAAAGGATATACGTCATGATTAAGAACGACTTATCTCTTTATAGAATGACTCTATCGGCGGTTCAAAACCAGGGAAATGATCATGAAATAATGACATAAAACAAAGATCTAAGAGAAATATGTGGTAGTGATCCAAAGCTGATAACACAGCTTACCGCTCTTACTCGTCTCAAGTCAGTTTTGGAACTAGGAGGTTCTTCACTTGATAAAGTAGTCAAATTTAACAGTAAATATCCATTTTTTTCCTGATCACTCTTCCTACTAATAAATTCAAACACGTCAGATACTAACTTTCAGTCTTCATTGGAAATATGGACGAATTCGATTCTATGAACGAAGTTTTCGTAGCATTCGTTCCTGATCCCAAGGTGAGTTCTTCTCCCCTCTCATATCCCTCTATCCTCTCCAGAAACTCTCCTTAGTTGTATTATACCCCTCGCTTTCTTGTATCCTCATCTTGTCAAACTTCAATCACCTTGGAACCCAACTTCCCTCGCTTTCCCTCTACGGTCTCAGAGTTTGACCGCCCCCAAGATCAACCCCTTTTCTCTCTCATCGTTCCGGACTTTGACCAGCCGTGAATCAAACTCCCTACTCCCCCCATGTCTTCTCATAATCCCAAAGCTTGACCCTGGATGAAATCAACCAGACATGTCAAGTGGCTATCTGGGTCAACAACTAACTCTATATGTTTGACTCTTGATTGACTTTCAGCCAGCGAGAACTTGTATCCAAGCCGGTCGTTTACCTGCCGGTGCGGCAATAGAGATTGAATGTATTGCCGTTTACTAGATCTCTCTCCTCCATCTTGTCCATTCAATATGTAAGAAAGTTCAGTCTTCATATCTGGGTAGAATGGGAGTATCTGAAGGGATTGAAACCGTCCGGCGGCTTGAGGGGAGGGATTATGATGATGAGTCTCATCCATTCGTCTGCATTTGGGAGTTGAAAAGTGGGGGAAACAGTACAAATGAAATGAGAGATTTCGATCAAGGTTTGTGAATGCATAGATCAGATGATATGTGTCGTTCCGTAAAGATTTCACCGAAGCCCTCGATCAAGTATCTATGTAAGTATCCAATCTCAAGGATCCTATCCACTACCCACAATGTAAGAGTAACCAACGTAAGTAAAAGACATATTGATCCAATTCGAAACGAAGGAGGGTCAGAATTCCATATGACTATTCTTCATCCCCTGGCATCTTGACAAACTCTTCCACCCTCCCTCTCTCTTTATCCCATACTCCAGCGGTCCAATAAACATCATCCTTCACCCTCTCCCAAGCCGCCGAAAGGGATTCCGACGTCATGAGTAGTACAGACCCAGCCATGGCTTGTTGTCCTGGTTTTAGGGATGGATGAGAATGGAGTGAAGATTGAGGTGGCGGGAGGTAACCTCTTCCGAAAGCTGTCATCAGCGAGTTCTCCGGGCTTATGGAAGATTATTTGTTAAGTGGAGTTTGCAGCTTCATGTGAATTTTGTATGGGACGGTCTTTGACGTTTATGGTTTCATCTGATAGATGGGATGATTGAAGTGATGGACGATAGATTGGGTAGTAGATGGCAACTTGGATGACAGATGACTGATTGAACTTGAAGGTCGAAGCTGAACAAGTGATAATATGTCAATGAGGTTGATTGAATAAACAAAATATAGACAGGTCGAATATATATGGAAAATGTGTGCAATCATGTCATACGCAGGATACGCCTGAGAAAAACCTATGAAACGATCACACTGGACAGATTGATGATACATCTTTTCCGCAGATCATGAGATACAGGCATCAGAGGAGTCGCAGGAATCACAAAAGATGGATCAAACGTCTTTCGACGTGATGGACCAGAAAGGGATAACACCGTCCCCCACATCATACAACACTCCACAATCTGTATCCCACATTGCGATCGAATCATTTCAAGTTAAGAATAAGGAATGATCTCCATTTCAATCTTAAACCGACAAAACTTCCCACCACAGACAATGCAAATCCATTTGAGATGAAGTCCGTGATTCATGAGACCAAGAGCTGTGGAAAAAGGAAGAAAAGACTCACTGAACATTCCCATCTCTTTCTCCCTCTGAAACCTATTTAAATGCTCTTCCCTGACTTTCAACCTTTTCGTCAAAGTGAGCTCATCTTCGTAATCAGGCATGAAAGCGATGAACAATTTTGATTTCGTCTTTTGTCCTTTCCCATTCCCATTCGGCGCTTCCTGAGTTGTATCGGTGTCGACGGGTGATGAATCGATAGAAGATATATGTTTGGACATTGTGCTTTGAACGAATGACTTTGAGATGAGGGTTCTTGTGAGGATGGTAGGGCTGTGACAGATGGATTTGATGATCATGAGTAGTGGTGAACAGCACAGCAATAGTCGAATAACGAGGTGATGCTTTGAGAGAGGAATTCCCCCATATCCTCGGTGTCGGCTTAGATCGGAATTACTCAATCAAAGTTTCTCCGATCACTGGAATCTCACTCGGATCCCTTTTCCCCAATAACTCCCTTCCCCACATGTTCCACACATCATACAACATACTCATCACTCACTCCTGGCGCTTCCACCGTTGAGAGCTATCACGATGGAAGTCTGACTATATCGTACATACCTCTTTGATCACTGATACCAGCTCTATATCTAGTAGCTAGCAGGATCCCTCATCTTACAAGATCCAAAACCCATGTGACGAGTCAGAAACACGAAACAGGAACGTCTCAATCTCTCTCGATCTCTCAGCTGATCGTTGTCAACCTCCGTCATCTCTACCGGTGATCATCCCTTAGATCAATCATCATTCCTTAGATCCAACAGTCCTTCGCTCCTAGCTCCGAGTGGGCATGTCTTAGCTTGATTTTTCCTGTCTCACGGCTCCCCTCAAAATCACCTGGAGACGGAGGAAAAAACCTAAAGATCTAACGTATTGAAGATCTGCACGCCCATCTCCCTTCCCTTCCCTCTTTGTCTTTCCACTCACAAATTTAACTTTTTTCCACTAAAGTAGTCTCTCCACAAGACTCACGGACCCTCTCATTACCGTTTATTCATTGGCTTATTGGATTTTCTCGATTACTCGATTGTTTGAGTAAAAAAGCCATTACGCCATAGGCTTGAGTTTCAACTAACGGGGATCTTACTAGACAGATAGAGCAGAGGCTAAGAGAGAAGGGAGCAGGAGATCAGGATGACGCATATGACACCAACCGTGTGAGTTTTCCATTAAGTCATTAAATTATTAGGCTCTACTCGGTATGGGGGAGACCTAGGAATGGATGACGCTATGACGACATGACACCTTTTCTAATGTGGAGAGTTGTGGGGATCGGGAGAGGTGACTGGACATGACTGTGCTCGGAGATCGGAGGTGGGTGGGGTGGGGGCGGCAGAATGACGATGGCTATTATGAACGGGATGTTGTTGGGGATGGGGATGGGGATGAGGAATGAGGAAACTTGAAGGGGAACTAACCCCCACAGCCTCTTATTCGCATGTTGCCTTACCGTACTTTCTTTCGGTTACTTTTTATTTCATTCTTGGAAGTGAGTGTCATCTTCGCTCCTCTCTCCTCTCATCTCATCCTTGCTTCCACTCTTTGCTCTTCTTTCGATTATCTCATCTTCTTGGGCGATATGACCAGAACCTTCTTACATTCCAAGGGCCCGTACTGATATTCAAGCTTCGACAAATTCCAATCTCTGATCCCTACCAAACGAAGAGCTTTCAAAGTCGGGATAGCTGTAAGTCTTCCTGCATCAGCCCTTGTATATCTATCTCCTCTTTCCTCTTCTCCTACCCCTCCTCTTTCTTGTGAGCTCATGGATTTGGTTCGTAGGTCACATCCTCACCTAGGCGTCAGTGGGGTCCCTGGACCTTTGATATCTCTGGAATATCGTCAGCCTCACAACCACCTCTTTCCTGCTCGGCATATGGTATCCAAGCCACTCTGGACCTCGATACCCATTCCCACCCTCTGTCAGTGACCCTTCCATTAGATACGGTATATTCATTACTCTATTTCAAATGATGGCCGACTTTACGGGTGACCATAGCTTCATGTGTGGTACGAGTACATCAATGTAAGCAATACTCCAGGAAACAGTACTAATCTGCAGTGGTCTCTAATTTTCGCAAATATATGTTTTGCATCTTGGAATGCAGCTTTGGCTTATTTTAAATATACCGTGGGGTATACGTAAGTCGATTGTCCCCTTCTCCCCCGATATATGATCCTTATCGACAATACCCACCCCCCGATCATTGCGAAGTCTATCAAGCTCGTCGACAACTCTGAACAGCCTACCAGACCCCGTCTACAACGCATCCCGCCATTCTCGAAGTTCTTGACTCCAATAAGAGACCTAACATCCAGGGAAATCCCCGGCCTCGGGAACATCCCTACCCCCTATCAACTCTGGCCTCAGAATTTCAAGAATGCCACTATACCGTTGTATTATTTCCTCGCTTTGGCTTTCACGCTCCATCTGTGAGTTTGCCAGTCGCCTCGTGTCTCCCTCCCCTTCCTCCTTTCAACCCCGTCTACGTCTTAAGCTGGAGTGGAAGTGGCGGATGCTCACTACTGGCTCTAAGTACTCGTATATGGGCAGTGGCTGACGCATCAGGTCGATACAGACTGAAGGTAATTCCTTCTCCCTACTTCAGACCTTGACCTAGAACCTCCCCTGAAAGAGTTTTCCCATCCGTGACCTTCCATTCGTCACCAGGTGACTGCACATACAGGACAGTTGGGAGACTCTCGCATTCCCCCTACCAAAACTCTCTGTGTGATTCTCATGTGAACATTGGGTCAACGAAAACTGTTAACACGGACTCAGGCTAATTCACAGAAACATGCTACTGGATACACCTAGTAAAATCCATTCGAGGGATCACCACCTCCACATGGGTGTCCAGTCTCTGGTTCAAAATTTGGGTTATGGCTTCTTTAGCTGGAGCGGCTGGGATATTTGGGGCCGTGATCCCATTTGATGATGATCCTCAAGCCATGGAATTGGTGAGTATTCCAGACATTTTGGCCTTCTTCCACTGTATCCTAAGCTCTGTTATCACTTTGTATTTACGCAGTGCTCATTTCCTATGACAGCACGGTATACGGACTTGGAAAACAGGGGGAGGAAGGGGGCTCTGGACACTGTGTTGACGAACAGCACATCTTCACAGCTGGAAGCATTTACTCGGCGCTATTCACCCTCTCTTCCGTCTATGTCATTTGGAAATTTCCCGCCTTGATAGATTCCGTCCGAAGTCAAGGAGGGAGCAGAGTGGTGATAGAGCGATTGAAGTATCATAGACGATTGACTCAGTATCGTGTGAGTGGAGCTCCTTGTTAAGTCTCATTTGTCCAACTCATCTGGGGCTGTTAAGATACTGGCCTCTCTCACAGCCTCATTCTCCATATTTTCGAATGAAAGATCCCTTCATTCTACGGGATCCATTGTGAGTACGCATGCACGACTGACAAACAGATGGTATCTCGTGTGATATTTGTAGCTTGTTTCCTTGTCTGTATCCCGCCTCCCAACACATCGGCTGGTACTAATAAACAGTCATTGAGCATCGACGGCTTCACACCGGAGGAACATATAGCTCATGATCCTTTTGGCACTGGTGAGTTTTGACTTTCAGACTTCCCACGCACGCTAGCACGAATAACTTGACATGGGCGCTTGAGCTGATCTGAGTAGACTTACTCTTAATGGTTGGCGCCATGGGGCTGGTAGGGTCCAGCATCATTGTGGGTCTTCTCGCTGATCATTTCCTCGTGATTTTCGTCACTTTCGCTTCCCCCATGCTCCGCAGAGTCCTCCCCCCCCCCCCCCCCCCCCCCCCCCAACCCCTCTTCCCCTACGCTCTAGGAGAAAGATCTTTTTTCTGTCAATCCGTGTATTGACCTCCAGTCCGTGTACATGTTCTTCCCACCCGATCAGCCCCTTCCCTCCATTCCCGACTCTAGATCACTCCTCGGCCCTCAAATCGACACATTCGACTCTACGACCTCCCTCCATTATCACCCATCTCTGTCCCGTGCCAACTCCGACAAGTACTCAAAACCCATCATCATGGTCAACCCCCCTTCTAGCGGTGGTATACCCCGCAAGACGTCTCAATCAAATTTCGGTGAAGTGACAAGAGAAGGAAGGGGCATACCCCGAAAGATCTCACGTCCACGTCTCGGAGAGATGACTAGGGAAGAAGCCGAGGACTGGGAGAGAGAACGAGAAATCCAACAAATTAGATCTCAAATTTCCGTCGTGGCTCCATTCGCAACTCCTCCAACTCGGTCCATTGACCTTCCTCGTTTCTCCACAGATCGGAGAGAGAGACCAAGAGTCGATAGAGAGAGGAGAGGGTCGAGTGACAGAGATGGAGATAGAGTGGGAAGAAATAGTAAGAGTAATAACAACAGTACGAGTGATCTAAGTGATGCGGAAAAGGCAAGAGAGGCGCAAAACCAATATGCCTGGAGTCTATTGGCGGATCATTTACGTCTACCGGAAGATGCGATGGGGTTGATTTCTGAGGCAACGGAGATGAATCGAAAAGCGTGGAGAGCTGCTCAGAGGGCGGCTCAGGATATCATGGTACCTCCTAACGTGAGTAGCTTCCCAACCCACAACCTCCTCCTGCCTGGACCTGTATGTGATCTGTTTGATATTTCACAGCTCGTCGGTGACATCTCATCGAAGTACATATTTTATTCATCTTCAAGCCATTGAGCTACTCGTCGAATTTCCTGTGGGACTGAGACTTATAACCCCACACACTACACACACACACACACAGTCTCTGTCTCTCTTACATATCTTGCTTGACTGCGTGATCATTCTTTACTTCTTTGGAATCGCTCCCTCCTCTCAGTATGGAAGCAATCAGAGTGCATCAAGCATCATGTTTGCTGGGTGTGGCGAGTACGAAGACTGACCACCAGTTGCGTCAACATTACCCCCCATCGGTCGAGAGTCGAGAAGTGTTAGAGGTAAGAGAGCATGAAGTGGATCATCCCTTGGGAGAAGAGGGAAGGGGTGCTTCGACGATGCATACGGAAAGAAAGAAGAACAAGGAAGAAAGGCATCAACCACCTGCAACGTCAAGGGTGCAGATACCGATGACGGTGAGTTTTTCTGCTTCTTTCTCTTTATCCACTCTCAGCTTTCCTCTTTCTTCTTCCAGGCCCCATCTTCATATTGCATTCCCTGTACCTGAACACCATCCCAGTTTGAACACATCACTCACAACCTTTCCCCCATCCGTATGCGGGCGTAGGGTGGTTAGGAATGCCACTTCACCCGCCTCCCATGATTTGTGAGAACGAACATACGCTTACCCTCGTCGAGAGCTTCAGGAGCTTACCTCCCCCTCTGAGACGAGGACCTTCGGGATCGGCAGGCCCCACTCCTCATACCGACATCTCTGAAGAATAAAATTGGAAACAAAAGGGGTGAGCGTGTACGTAATGTATCTGGTACGGAATGAAAGCAGCTGTGTAGGATACCTTTTGATACACGTTTATGACATGTATAATTCAAAAGCCAGTTCCAAAGTAGCGTAAAGCAGCCAAATTGTCAGTTCCGGATGTTCCCCTGCCTCCCGTTTATCCAAATATAATCACATTGTCTTGTTGTCAGGAACTGCGCACCCCTTATAAGGGAGATGTCGAGTATTGGGCCTTTTAGCAAGGACGTTATGACTGCCAGGGAGCCAGGGGGAGTTACAGTCAGCACTGACACAGCAACTTTTCAGATCCGGGGGCTGACCGTTCTCATATTGCGGCTCACCACACTGCATGAGTACCCTTCTGAACCGGAAACCTTGTTGTCACGAACTATGTCGTGACACCTCGAATATCCCACCATAAACAACCCTCCTTTGACCATCAAAACACCTATTACGTCTTAACCTCTTCACCCTACACGTAACCTAGGACATCTGAGACCAACTACGGCAAAGTACAACGGGAGAATAAGGTATACAGGGGTCTGGAGCATAAGGACGGGGAAGTTGGACGGAGTTAGGGGGACCAGGGACGATGGGAGCAGAAGTACGGTGAAGTTAGACAGAGTTAGGCTAAGTAGGGAAGTGCGGCGAGGTTACTGTCAGGGGTTCCTTCGGTTCTAGGTCTGGTTTGAGGGACAAGATCCGCAACTGGTCAAGCACGGTAGCAATCTAGAGTCACAGACAGGTGAAGATACATTGTCCAAAGAGTAAAGTAGCTATCTTCGTATTATGTATCTGTCAGGTACGCCGCCAGCGGCGTCCTCCGCATACCAGAGTTGTCACCACGTGACAGTTAGGCGGAGTTAGTTGAAGGAGGAAAAGTATGGCCGGGGACTTGGGGAAGTTGGACAAAGTGCGTTTAAGTATGTCGAAGCGCAAGAGGGTTGGGTGAATGTCTAGGAGGAGTAGATAATATTAGCTGAGAAGATCGCTGAAGTTCTTCAACAATCCTTGATTGTTGTCAGTAGTGAAAGATTGATAGATATAGCTACCTTTTGCATTGAGATACATCGCCATCAGTAAAAGCCCGTAGATAGAGTAACTACGTCGAAGTACGTCGTAGTTACACCCCTTTCAAAGTCTGCGCCCTCCTGGTTGGGTGAGACATCAAGTCTGAAACATCAAGTTAGCCGAGGTTCGTCGACCGTCGGTCAATTAGGAAGAAGTTATTTGTCACGGACCTGTCCCTGGCTGACCTCGATAGATCAGAGACAGGTGGACTATAACTGTTTAGTTAGCTTGGACAACAACGGTTAGTATGTTGTCCGTAGACTTGTGATGTGGTCGGACAACTAAAGTGACTTGCGAAGGATCTGGGCAGGTCGAGATGACGATAAGAGTGTGTGTGATGGTGTGGACAGGGGTGATGTTGATGAGGGATGTGTCGGATGTAAGTTGTTTGTCAAGAAGAGGTCTTTTGCGAGTGGCAAATAATATATTGATCCTTGAAGAAGGAAAGACTACAAGTAGACTATGACCAGTATATATAGTTTTTAGTGAGCTGTTACTCGCAAATCGTCTTGCTCCATGTCTCGCTGATCTCGCCAGAGATCTGTTACGACCTGGTAAGCCAGCTTGTAACACCAAGTCCCATGATCTCTGAACAAACCACCTGAAGCCCTTCAACCCAACCATAACTCATTGCTCCCACAAACTGCGAGTAACTCCGTCACCAAGCGACAACCGCCGATAACATTCGATAACCTTTGCTCACCGGTGATACTCTTTGATAGGCACCGATAACCTACAACCGTCTCTCGACGCATAGCAAAGGGCTGCGGTGCAAGACATGTACTTGCACCGCAATGCATGCAGACCTCCGACAGGACTCGATGGATCTCAGAGGATAGCAATGCAGGACATAGGGAAGAGCCGAATGTATCGTAGCAGAGCAATGATAAGCATAGGAAGGCGCTAGAAATCCGGTGGCCTGCGGAGCAGGCCCCCTGGGACCCGCTGTAGACTATTTAAACCCTACTTCTTCTTTCCATAGTTTCTTTTCTTCAGAGATCAATTATCATACGTTTCCACCCTTTACTGACCAAGTCTTTGATACTGACTTCGACTTCAACTTGTCCTTCAACATTGGCCCCAAGCCTTAATCTGTTCAACACCTTGGGCCCAATATCGTCATCGGACATCCTCTTGTCATCATCCTAGACTCTCTCATTGTCAGTAAGTAATCTCGTCCAGTGTATCAAAGTTCCACTCTCTCTCTTTCTTCATCCTTTTACATCACTCCATCACCAACTCTTCTCACTTCATCACTCGTCCACCTGCTGTCTTTCCCTTAAGACAACCAGGCTTAACAAGATCTCACCTGTCTCGCCTTGCTTCTCGCTCTGTCTCCCCTTTCTCGTCTGTCCCACCTCGAGTCTCGCCTATCTCGCTTTACATCTCACCTGTCTCGCCTGGTATCTCGTCTGTCCCACCTCGAGTCTCGCCTATCTCGCTTTACATCTCACCTGTCTCGCCTGGTATCTCACCTGTCTCGCCTGGTATCTCACCTATCTCGCCTGGTATCTCACCTATCTCGCCTGGTATCTCACCTATCTCGCTTGGTGATGTCCCTGAATTGTCAGGGTCCAAGGGGCACAACCCAAGGACTTGCAGGGTCGTGACATTATTTGACGTGACAAGAACCTTGTTGCCCCTGAACTTATTACTGGTCAGTTGTAGGAAGCATAGGAGGGCTTGGCCACATGACAGAGTTGGCAAGGTGTCTCTGTAGTGGATCAGGCCTCCCCGAAATAAGAGAGTGGTAATAGCTCTCCTTCCATACCTCTTCCTTCTTCCTTGATCCATTCCCCCAATGTCACGCGGCGCTGCGTGACATTATCTTTTCCCATCAAACGAAGTCCCTCTGGACATCAGCTCGCCATCAACGATCCAGGTCTTATGAACTTCACCACCCATGAGGGTATTAGGAGGCTAACTTTGTCAAGGACAAAGTTAGTCATGTAGGAAGTTGTCCCAAACTACGTTGTAACATCCCTGACAACCACCATCACCGACCCTCCTTTCACCATCACCGACCCTCCTTTCACCATCACCGACCTTCCTTTCACCCTTACCAACCTCCACTCAAACCACTGAGACCAACTACGGCGAAGTTACGAGAACCAAGAGGGTATTTGTCACGATAACCCCGCCTAGCGGAGAACTACGGCGAACTTAGGGGAAGGGAACTGAGGGAGAGCAGAACAGAGGAAGTTAGGTGAAGTTAGTCGAAGTGAGCGGAGTAGGACATCAGGGATATGGCAAGGTACGGCGAAGTTGAACGAAGAGGACTGAGCGTGAGGCAGTGCAGGAGTTGAGGGACGTTTGTTACGGGGTAACAACAAATCGAGGGAACTCTATCGAGTTCGACGGATTAGGATGGAGGAAAGCGGGAATTGGAGGCAGTGCTGCAGTAGGTAGGGACGGGTTTTCCCCTTTTTGAGATTTTCCCCACTGGGTTTGCTCAAAGCGGTTTTTCACCTGTCCGAGTATGTACATGGACGCTTGCAGTAGGACTGAGAAGAGGAGACGGATACCTGTAGACAGTATATAGTACAATCAGCAAAGTACCAACTTTGCGGATTCTTCAATATCATTCTTTGGCTACATCGATTGCAGAGGAGACACGATCCATTAGCACCAGATCCCCTAGATTTCCACGAGACATCCATCGAGTTCGACCCAACCTGCGACCTAGTCATTGTGTTTCCAGTACCGTTACAAGTTGAAGAATCAGCCTTAAGCACCTTGGGTCGAATTGGAGAGTACTGTATGCTCACCAGGGGAAAAGCGCGGAAAATGATACCAGAAAAAGAGGAGTTGAAACAAGGGCTGGTCCCAGAGGAGGAAATACCAACAAGTTCTTCGAAAAGTACCATTTCACATGATCTCAATTCTACCACCACTGCCCCAGATCCGCTGAATGAATTATCGCAGCAGTTGTCACAATTATTAGCCATTATGACGATGCAACAAAAGGAACAAAATGCATTAAGAGAAGAACTGGCTACGATGAAAGCTGACCGACAGAACCAACAACTACTCACCTCGAAAGGGGCAAGTTCGATCGAAATCGAAGAAAACAAGCCGTGTTTGGAGCCAAAACTTACCAACAACGAACGAACAGGAAGAACCAGGTGTGCGGATCCACCTACCTTCAGTGGAGAACGAGGGGAATTGGACAACTTCCTGGCAGCATGCCACATGAACTTCGAATTCAAAGGGGCAGAGTACGCCACCGATCGCAGAAAGATCTTTTTCATGTACGGGTATCTTCGAGGCACCCCTCAAATGCTTCTGACCCCTGCCATAACCAATCTAAGTATATGGAATTCGACCGAATGGCTAGAGAGCTACGACAAATTCATCCAGCATTTACGAACCCAATTTGGAGACAGTAACATGGCAGGTACGGCTATGAGGAAATTACAAGAGTTAAGACAGACTGATACGGCCGCCGAGTATTTTGCCAACTTTGAACTTTGGTCAACACACCTTGGAAAGGTACCAGATGCAATGAAAATTGCTTCAGCCATACAGGGCCTGAAGGAAGAGCTACTGAAAGTGGTAGTGGTAAATAACACCGACCCTCGAACCAAATCGGACTGGATCTATTTCAAACAGCATGTGATAGGAACCGAGGAGAACCAACGGATGGCTGAAACGATGATTGCAGCGAATCGATGGGCTGCTAGACGCAAAAATGAGACGACCTGGCTTCCCCCTCGATCAAATTCGATGTGATTGGATACTAGCCCGCCCAACCCGGTAGAACACCACTCACAATCAACCGGTAGAGGACCTTTGCCCGGTGGAAAGCCAGGGATGATGAATTATGGTCTACCAAATGACCCTCCGGTCACTTGGACAGAGGACGGAGGACGCCTCAGCGAGAACGAAATGACTTGGAGGAGGGAGAACCGACGTTGCCTCAAATGTAGAAGTCCAGAACATTACGCCAACAACTGTCCAAATGGAGGAACTACGAGAAACAACATTAGGGGATCCCCAAACCCGCATAGCTCACCAATTCCTAGTGGATCGAACTCGATTCCAACTGGATCCAAAGGGCCATTAGTTCGAGGAATGGCGGTGAACTTTGAAGAAGAGGGAAACGAGTACCTGGCCTAAGTGATGCGACCACTTGCGGCCGGGATCCAACAGAATCGCACAAAATTCAACTACCAATAGATCTCAGTGATGACTCGGCTATAATATACATAAAAATACAGACAGAAGAAGATACCCTACGATTTGGAATGTTAATTGATACCGGAGCTACCGGAAGATACGTATAGCCGGCCTGTCCATTATACCATTTATTCCCAAAGAGACAGTATCAGGAACCACGGAAGATCAGATTCCTAGATGGAACAACCGCGACGTTAGTGACCGAGTATGTAGAAGCTGAATTGGATTTAGGAGAAGGACTCAAGATTGCGACTCGATTGGATGTGATGGCATACGAAGGCCCCGAGGTATTGGTGGGATTGGATCTCTTAAAACAGTTTCGAGCAAGGATCGATTGTGGAAAGGGAGTGATCGAGTTGGATGGAATCGGACATGATAACGGTTGGAAGTATCCAAGATTGGAGGAAGGATTGGTAAGGGGAACGGCGTTGGAAAAAGGAGAAGATGAAATGAGCGAAGAAGAGTTACGACAAGTCATACCGACACAATGGCACCAATACCTCGAGTTATTTAAAGTGGAGCGGGCCAGAAAACTACCACCAAGGAGAGAATGTGATCATGAGATCGAATTGACCCCCGGAGCAGAACTAAAACCAGGACCAATCTACCAGCTGGATGAACATGGGGACGCATTCCTGAAGCAGTGGATCAATGACGGGTTGGCCAACGGCCATTTACGAAGAAGTAAATCACCTTACGGATCTCCTGTATTCCTGGTTCCAAAAAAAGGAGTGATTCCCTATCGAGTGGTAACGGATTATCGGGCGCTTAACAAGGTAACCATTAAGGATTCATACCCAATGCCACTCATCTCGACACTACTCGATCGACTTCAATTAGGAAGGATCTTCACTAAACTCGATTTGAAAGGGGCTTACCAGTTAGTCAGAATAAAGGAAGGAGATGAACATAAAGCTGCCTTATGAACAAGATACGGCAGTTTCGAGAGCACAGTCCTAAGGGATGGGTTGTGTAACGCACCAGCCACCTTTCAGAACTTTCTACAAGACATGTTTCACGATCTACTTGACGAAGGAGTAGTAGTTTATATCGACGACATCACGGTATACTCCGACACGATCGAAAACCATCAAATAATTGTCCAAAAGGTGTTAGATCGACTACTTGAAAACGATTTGGTCGTCAGTCCGAGGAAATGCGAATGGAGTTCAAATGAAGTGAAGTTCCTGGGGTACGTAATAGGACACGAACGGATCGAAATGGATCAAAAAAAGGTGAAAGCTATCCTAGAATGGGGAGAACCCATGACAGTCCGGGATACTCAAGTGTTCTTGGGCTTTGCGAATTTGTATCGAAGGTTTATCAAGGGGTTCTCGCATATTGTGGGACCTCTCACACGATTGACCAGGAAGGATCAAGCTTGGAACTGGACACAAGAATGCCAAAAGGCCTTTGACGATCTAAAGAAAACATTCACCACAGCACCAGTACTTCGACATTTTGATAGAACCCGACCGACTTGGATCGAAACCGATGGATCCGACTGCGCGATAGGTGCGATAGCGTCTCAGAGATTCCCTCACCCATCAATAAAGGGAACCACCGAACTTCACCCAGTTGCGTATTGGTCTCGAGCAATGACACCCTGTGAACTAAACTACACGGTAGGAGAGAAAGAATTACTAGCCATCATGGACTGCTTGGTCGCCTGGAGGCCCTACTTGGCTAACAGTAGTGATGTTATAAAAGTCATTACAGATCACAAAAACTTAGAATCCTTCCAAAGCAAACGACAACTAAATCGAAGGCAGATGAGATGGTTGGAAATATTGGGAGACTTCAACATAGAGATTACTTACCGACCAGGTAGCAAAAATGGGGGAGCAGATGCTCTGACTAGACGAGGAGATTATCATCCGGGAAGAGGGAGTAGCAAGGACCCAGACCTAAACAAAGGTAACTGGCTACAGTTGCTACCGACACACGAACAAATTGGATCGAATTCAATGGACTCAGAACACAAAGGACCAAGACACATAGTAAGAGAGCAATCCGGGAAGACTCATTATTCGGACTCATCAAGACGAAATAAAAAGACTCAGAAGAACATAGCAAACATACAACGACTAGGGACTACAAATGACACAGACACATAGCACAGCAAGCACACAGAACACACAGAGCACACAAGACACACAGAAGACAGAGGCCAGCAACGAGACACCAATAGTATCATGGACACAGAGCGGATTACTCCTGTACAAAAACAGAGTAGTCATACCAGAGGGACAGGCAAGATTAGAAGTAATGAAAGCAAGACACAATTCGATACTAGTGGGTCATCCAGGAAGAGACAAAACTATCACCATGGTCAAAGAAGATTATTACTGGCCACATTTGGACGAGTATATTGTGAAATACGTAAAAGGATGTGAGATCTGTAACCGACATAAGACTCATTGACATCAGCCGTATGGACATCTAGTTTCTTTACCAGTACCCACACTCCCGTGGACAGATATCTCTATGGATATGGTGGGACCCCTACCAAAATCGACCGAGTTCGATGCGATACTAGTGATAGTCGATCGACTGACCAAGATGCCTAGATTTATTCCATGTACAACCGGACTAACAGCGAACAAAGTGGCCGACATCTACATCAAGGAGATCTTTTCAAAACATGGAGTGCCTCGAACAATTGTATCAGATAGGGGAACTCAGTTTACAGCGGAGATTTGGAAGGAAATATGTCAGTTCTTAGGAATAAAGAACTTATATTCGACTGCGTATCACCCTCAAACAGATGGACAAACTCAGCGAGTAAATCAACAGATGGAAATCCTGCTCGGAATGTATGTAAACTACAACATGGACAATTGGGATCAACTTCTACCAATTGCTGAGTTCGCTTATAACTGTTCGCCACATAGTAGCCACGGTCTGTGTCCCTTTGAAGCCTGTTACGGCTATGTGCCACACTACGACATCCATTCGCACGATATTCGATCGAAGTCAAACAAGTTGGAGAAGAAATGGAGAGATATGGGAGAATTACATGCGACTGTTCAAGAACAAGTCAGGATGGCTAATGAGATTAGTGCAGAATACTACAACAGGAGACACAAGAGCATACCAGAAGAATTCAGAAAGGGAGAACAGGTACTACTGAGTACGAAGTATCTTACGATGGAACGACCCAGTCGAAAACTAGAAGCAAAATACATTGGCCCCTTCAAGATCATAAGGAAAGTTGGGAAAAATGCTTTCGAATTAGATCTACCTCCATCAATGAAAGTGCACAATGTCTTCAATGTCACGCTGTTGGAACCATATCCTAAGGATATGATACCAGGTCGACAGATACCACCCCCACCACCTGTAGTAATTAACGGCCAGGAAGAATTCCATGTGGAAGCAATTGTAGACAGCAGAATTCGTTGAGGAAAAGAAGAATTCAAGGTAAAATGGTTAGGATACACAGGAAATGCGGCCTATGACTGGGAACCACGAGAAAATGTAGAGGAGTTGGCCGTTTTTGACGAATTTTTGGAAAAAAGAAAAAGGGACCCCAGAAGAAAGTGAGAATTCGATCAAGATCAACGAGACTAGGTCGGAAGTGAATGCATACACAGAAAATATAGCTACAAATAGAGAGATATAAATACACTAGAAGTTGGAGGTGGTAGAATTGGCTCGGGGACGACGGGCCGAAGCGGGAATGCGAATGACATTGCGGGGGAGAGGAGTATGGGGAGAAGAGGAGGGACCAGCGACTGGCTGAGAGGAACTCAATCCGGTAGGATCACAAGTAGAAGTAAGATGATCCAGAGTCTCTTCGGCAGTAGGAGGAGCGTAGTTGGCAGAAACGAGATGGAGAGATTTGTAGAGGGCCAGATGGTGAGAGGGGAGAGGAAGGAGAAGGGAGGTAAAGAGATGAATGTAACCCAAAAGTTGGGTGAGACAGGCGGAATGATCATGGGCGGGAAGGGATCGATAACGGACCGAAGCCGCACAAAGTTCGTGCTCCAGGACAAAGGTAACCTTGGAAGTGACCGTTCTTGCTCCCACAACAATACCCTATACATCAACATCGACCAAGTTCGAAGGAAATAGACAGGTACCTCACGAAATTTGGACTCAGGATTGTTGGTCTTCACCGAACATTTTGAAGTACCTTTAGCAGAACATTCGCCGCAAACACCACCGACTGGATTACATCAACATCGAACAAGTTGCAGCAAGAGCTTACGAGGGCCAATACAACCAACACGAAAGTCTTCACCACCATCGAGACGACGTTGGCAGTCGGTACAGAGCTCACCCTCTAGTCGAACAACAGCACCATTTTTGTTGCGAAGGCGCCAGCCTTGGGCCAGACGTTCGAGCTGATGATTAGAATCAATGGAACTTGAGAGAATTCGAGGCTTACAGCGTTCTTAAACCACTTTACAGTGGGCTTGATGGCGTTGGTTTCGCGGAAACGATCCAGAGCTTCGTCCTTCAACGCAGAACGAACGGAGGAGAAGGTCATGCTGGACCAAAGGGTAGCTAACAAGTCAGAAGCGAACAGAACTCGGTGGAATTCTCACCGATCTCGGAGTCCTTTCGATCCTGAAGCAACTGAACCAGTTCATTATTGACCGGAACCTTACGAGGGGTGTGAAAAATGTTTTCGGGTTCATTGGGAACCTCGACAAGTTCCTCTGAATAGTTAGAAGGTGGCGGAGGGGACTTATTACCAGGAGAATTTTCATTTTCGACGACGGTGGGGTGTTCGGATTCGACGGACTTGGCGGGAGATAGGTTCTCACCAGTGGCAGATAGCCCAGCAGCCCCATCGAAGTCGATAAATTGCTCAAGGGCCTGGTCATCAAGGGACGATTGTGGTTCACGAGAGGGACCGGAATGATACTTCTCCTTAATGGTATCGAGGGCCCGTCGAGACGCATCAACCAATGGGGGTTGAGAGGAAGCGGCTTGGGAAGTAATTCTCATTCTTTTCGTTTGACGCATGAGAAGTTCGGGGTCGTTGTCAGGTAGGATTGCCAAGGTAGAAGCTCGAGTTTGACGGGAGGAGGTGGAAGGAGACAACTAATCTCGTCAGCCAGTGAGAGATAGGAGGATATACATCGAATTCGAAAGGAATTGCTTACAATACGCTTAGACATGTTCACGGACAGGTCAGAGTTGGACGGAAACTCTAAGATATGAGTAGGATATGGATGGATAATGATAGATAAGTAAAAAGAACGACGAACAAGAGGTAAAGAAGGAATGAGGAGGAAAGAAGAAAAAGACGACAGGAGGTAACTTGGTCGGTAATTTCTCGATCACATTGGAGGTCCGTGCGGGTGACACGTTTCATGGCAACTGTCACACTAGCGTAGGTGTGACGTCAGGGCGCACCAAAGGTGTCTCAGAACGATCCATGTGAATCACTTGGTTACGGGATTCAGGATCCTCGGCGAGGATCCTTGAGACAGGGGGGGAAACTTGTTACGGGGTAACAACGAATCGAGGGAACTCTATCGAGTTCGACGGATTAGGATGGAGGAAAGCGGGAGTTGGAGGCAGTGCTGCAGTAGGTAGGGACGGGTTTTCCCCTTTTTGAGATTTTCCCCACTGGGTTTGCTCAAAGCGGTTTTTCACCTGTCCGAGTATGTACATGGACGCTTGCAGTAGGACTGAGAAGAGGAGACGGATACCTGTAGACAGTATATAGTACAATCAGCAAAGTACCAACTTTGCTGATTCTTCAATATCATTCTTTGGCTACATCGATTGCAGAGGAGACACGATCCATTAGCACCAGATCCCCTAGATTTCCACGAGACATCCATCGAGTTCGACCCAACCTGCGACCTAGTCATCGTGTTTCCAGTACCGTTACAACGTTCTATGAGAAGAGAGGAGTAATATAGATAGTTTACAGATCGCTGAACTTCTTCAGCGAGCCTTGATTGTTGTCAGTAGCGAGAGATATATTCAGTAGCTACAACCTTTGAGTTAAGGAGAGCTATCACCGAGCAGTTCAACGTACTACGGTGAAGTTAGCCGCAGTTCATCGATGCTCATCTATCATTTACCACTTGACGTATCACTATGGCAAAGTTAGCCGTAGTTCCTCGACAAGTACCCTGTCCTAGTGAGACATCGACGCCCCACTACGACGTAGTTAGCCGAGGTTTGTCGACCGTCAGTCAGTAGAGAAGAAGAAACGACGATTGTGACAGGGAAGAACGAAGTACTTAAGGACCGAAGTTCCCAGGGATCTTTGACAATCTCTGGTTGTTGTCTTAGTGATAGACGTTAGTAGAGCACGAAGTTATTACACCCAGAAGTTATTGTCACCACCCATACTACAAAGTACACGCCTATTAAGGGACATAACCCACGAAGTTATTGGCCGTCGGTCCTAGGAAGATAAGGAAGAACCAACCCTGTGACACTGTATAACAGTGCCCAATTGTTACGGGGTGACAACGAATCGAGAGGACTCTATTGCGTTCAACGGATTAGGACAGAGGAAAGCGGGAGTTGGAGGCAGTGCTGCAGTAGGTAGGGACGGGTTTTCCCGCTTTCAAGATTTCCCCACTGGGTTTGCTCAAAAGCGGTTTTTCACCTGTCCGAGTATGTACGTAGACGCTTGCAGCAGGGAGAGGACAAGGACAGGGATACCTGTAGACAGTATATACTACAATCAGCAAAGTACCAACTTTGCTGATTCTTCAATATCATTCTTTGGCTACATCGATTGCAGAGGAGACACGATCCATTAGCACCAGAGACACCTAGATTTCTAGGATACCTCCATCGAGTTCGACCCAACCTGCGACTTAGTCGTCATGTTTCCAGTACCGTTACACCAATGGAACGGTGATACTAACCACTGCGACAAAAAGGTCTATCAACCGGCGATATCTGCATTCGCCGTTTGCTAGTTAAATACCTGTTAGGTGCCATTCGGAAGACGTGAATCTTCGAGGTTCAGGGGCAGGTCCGTGACGCACGGAAGACGTGCCTCTTCA